AGTACATGGCACTTTTCCGTGCCATAAGAGAGGTTTTGTGGCAGCGGCGTTTGCTAGCTGAATTGGGGGAGGAGCAGCAAGGACCTACCCCACTCTACTGTGATAGCCAGGGTGCTATTGCATTGGCTAAGAACCCCGTTCTTCATGGCCTTACCAAGCACATGAAGGTGAAGTGGCATTGGGTGAGGAGCATGGTAACCGCGGGTGAAGTGGAGTTGCACTACGTGAAGACGACGGCGCAGCCAGCTGATATGATGACCAAGAGGCTGGTTGAACAGCAGCATTGGAAGTGTTGCAAACTTTCTGGGATGGCTCTGAACTAAGGGGAGCAGATTCTAAGGCCAACAATCCGAGGGGGAGTTTGTTGGTGCAACCCTATGGCTTGCACTCGGCTTGTCGTCCTTGTTTGTGTGTGTGCATGCATGGCATGGAATGAATTGTAAGTCTATGTCATGTTGCTTAGAGAAGGCTATAAGCAGATGATTCAATTGCTCCTTGGAAATTTCTGCAGCACTTCGTTATGACGCCCAGAAAACTCGCGACCTTCGAAAAGCTCTATCCAAAACTCCAATCGGTGAAACGATATGAAAATCGGATATCTTGTAGCTTGCAGCGTCATCTTTCCACTGAAAGTTGAATCACTCGATTCCGTAGCTTAACGAGCGAGCTATGGCGATTGGCGCACTGGGGGGTAATCTGCCCTAGGAGAAGTTGACAATCCTCAGAGTCACACTGATTGAAGCTTACAAGTTCAGAGGCATGATAGAAAAGGCATTGAAGCACAGTTGGAAGGTAGGGATGGAAGGGAAGGATGAAAGGGAAGGACCCTGGAGGCCCATGGTCAAGAACATGACAAGAGTCAAAGTCTTGACTCCCCATCCTCAGGTTCAGCCAGCCTGGCAAGACAAAATTCACACTGTACCAGGTTGGCCTCCAAACCCCAAATGCTGCAGCTGCAGGGTGGGGACAAAAGTCCCACACATGCTGGTCCCTCCTCGTTATAGGGCTCTCCAACTTTGGTGTAGCAGCTGACAAGGACTTCCAATGAGTTGTAACAAATCCATCAAACATTTCTTCGTAACTTCTTCATATGTGCTCCGATTCCAACAATTCTTGGCTCGTTGGAATGTGCTCGATGTCATGCACAAATCAAGCACATCTGCACAAGCCCAAGACGAACATGCAAAGACATGCAAACCCAACAAACCATACAAACAATGTAGCGCACAAAACACATGCAACGAAATGATGCAAACAGACGACAAGATGACGTGCAAACGAATATGCACCAACACACTCCCCCTCAGACTGTCGGCTTGTTTCGCCATCTCTAGTTCAAGGACATTCCCGCCATCCTCGCACAGCGCCAGTGTGGCTCTTCAGCTAGCCGCTTGGTAAGGAAGTCGGCTGGCTGTTGCTGAGTTTTCACGTAGATCGGATCGAGTGTCCCAAGCTTCACCTCCTTCCGCAGCCAATGCCACTTGATCCTCATGTGCTTGTTCAACCCATGAAGAACTGCATTGCGTGCCATGGCAATGGCTCCCTTGCTATCACTGAACAGAGGTGTCGCACAAGTCTGTTCATGGCCGATCTCCTTCAAGAGCCTCCTTAGCCAGATGATTTCTTTTGCCGCATGAAACATCGCCATGTACTCAGATTCCACTGAAGATAGTGCCGTCTCAGACTGCTTCTTGGACCTCCAACTTACAGGCCCACCTCCCACCATGCAGATGTATCCACCAACTGATGATGAATCCTCATGCTCAGAAGCCCACGTGGCATCAGCAAAACAGGAAAGGAACACCTTTCCTTCTCCGAGCTGCTCCCCCTTCTCTTTGACGACTTCAATTCCTTTTTGACTGAGTTGAGCAGAGGCTGAATACTGTACTCCCACTGTAGGGTATGACTTGAGGTAGCGCACCACTCTCTCCGCTGCACCACACTGCTCTTCTGTTGGATTTTGCACTACTCGAGCCAGCTGTCCCACAGCAAAGCTGATGTCAGGCCGAGTATGCACAGCAGCGTAGAGTAGGCTCCCGACCATGGATTGGAATTGCCTCTGGTCTTCACTCTCAACTCCTTCTCCTTCAGCTGCCTTTATGAGTTTGAACTCGGAAGGCAAAGGTGTGACCACTTCCCGTTCTTCCTGCAGAGAGTACTTCTCAGCCAAGGTGTTGATGTACTGTCCCTGATGCAGTTTGAGCCAGCCACGTTCAGTATCCCGCTCAATATGCATTCCCAGGTAGTACCTTGCCTCTCCAAGTGACTTGCACTTGAACTGCTCTGTGAGCTTCCGCTGCACCCCATCGATCTCCTTGTCACTGCTGCTGAAGAGCAGGATGTCATCCACGTACACCAGCAGAAGCAGAAGTGACTCCCCCTCTCCCATCAGGAACAGGCTCTCGTCGCATGCACTCGCACGGAATCCAATCCCTTCCAGTGCACTGGCCAGCCTGTTGTACCAGCATCTCGGGGCCTGCTTCAAGCCATAGATGGCCTTGTTAAGTTTGCAGACACGACCGGTTCCATCCTCATAGCCAGGTGGTTTAACCATGTACACCTCCTCTTCCACAATGCCGTACAGAAAAGCGGTTACGATGTCCATCTGCTTCACCTTCCATTTGCGCACAGCAGCTACCGCCAGCAGCACACGTAGCGTTGGAGACTTAGCAGTTGGGGCAAACACTTCTTTGTAATCTTCCTTCTCTTTCTGCTGAAACCCCTTTGCCACCAGCCTGCTCTTGTAAACTGATGGCTCTCCTTTCTCATCCGTCTTGATTTTTGCCAGCCACTTGCACTGTATTGCCTTCTTCCCATTTGGCAAGTACACCAGGTCCCATGTGTGATTCTCCATCTGGCTGTTGTACTCTGCATCTCTTGAAACGAGCCACTTCCCCCGTTGAGGCCCGGCTAGCGCATGATCCATGCTCGGAGGTTGTATTGGTGCGTAAAAGCAGTATGCAGGCTCCTCGTCATCTGACTCTTGGTCATCACCCAAGAACAGCACTGCATCTTCGCCTTGAGCCTGTTCCTGCTGCTCAGTTGTGGCTCCTCCACTTGTAGAGCTCAGCAGCTTTCTCGTTGCCATTCTGGTACGTGCAGGATAGATGGTTGGATTTACCCATTCTTTCACCTTCACCCAATCCTTTGTCCCCCCACCAATCTGTATCCTTCGCTTTGGCAGACTTGGTGTTTTGGAAGCCTCTTGCTGCTGCTGCTCCGGATCCTTGACTTCAGCATCAGCTGCAATATCCTCATTGCTTCCTTCATCAGTACCGCTTGCCGTTGGCGCAGTGACTTCGCTGTCCTCGGGTTCGGACAAATTGAAGTGCATAGTGATCTCTTCCAGCTGCTGGGTGACCCTTGCCTCCGGCTGCTTCTCCCACTTGCCATACATGATGTTCTCCACAAATTTGACATCCCGACTGTCAAACAGCACATTCTTCGAGGGCTCCCAGAGTAGCCACCCCTTGCTCTCTGCCGCAAGTCCAAGGTGCACACACCACAGTGCAGATGCTCCAAGCTTTGTCCTGTACGGTTTAGGGACATGCGCCACTGCCATGCATCCGAACACTCTGAGCATGTCCACTGGAGGCTTCTTTCCAAGCCACCTCTCCAGCGGCACCCACATATCATCAGCCACCTTTGTGAGTACGCGGTTCCTTGCCACTGTAGCATGCCTCACCGCATGAGGCCACATGGAGTTCCCCAGCCCTGATTCGATCAGCAGCGCTCGCGCAGTTTCCAAGATGGTCCTATTAGCCCTCTCAGCAACGCCATTTGACTGAGGGGTATAGGACGTCGTTAGCTGATGCTCAATGCCTTGTTTCTTGAGCCACGCAGTCAGATCTCCTCCTAGAAACTCTCCACCTCGGTCGGTTCTGATGCTCTTGCATGGGTGCCCAGATTGTCGCTCGACGAACGGCAGCCAGTCATCTCATATTGTTGAGGCAGCATGATCCTTCTGCTTCAACGGGTATGCCCACATCAGCCGACTCCAGTCATCAACTATTGTCAGGAAGTACCTTTCCCCCTTACTTCCTCGAACTGGAAAAGGTCCTACCAGGTCCATGTGCACGAGTTCCAGTGCTGCCTTGCTTTTCCCAGCTACGCCGTGAAAGGGGAACCATGTGAACTTGCTCAGCAGACATGTCTCGCATTTGGTATCATATGGTTGCCCATAAAGCTTCAGCCCCTTTACTGCTTCTTCCTTATGCAGTTGCTGCAGCAATGGCATAGCCACATGCCCTAGACGCCTGTGTGCGGTTTCCCAATCAGTCTCCCCCGACCTTGCAGAAACGGTCACTCCTGCAGCACTAACTGCATTGCACTCCTCCTGGACTCCAGATCCCGACTTTACTGCTCCCAACTCCTTCTTTGTTGATTCCCATATCAGTGCAGGGATCTGCCACATGGATCTGAAGACATCTCTGCTTTCGTGTAAATCCCATAACACACGATCTCCTCGCAGCCCCTTGAATGTTTTGGATCCATTGGTGGTGGTGCTGACTCCGGCCTGGCCTAGATTGCGCAGCGATATCAGATTGGCCTTCAGCCCCGGTACGAGTAACACGTCCTTCAGCACGACCAGTCCACCATCAGGTGCTCTGAATGCAGCTCGACCAACTCCAGCGACCTTCACTGCATGTCCGGATGCTGAGCGCACTTCGGAGATTGGAGGCGCTCGCACAGCATCCAGCAAGTCCTTGCGTGGTGTCATTGTCCATGCAGCACCAGAGTCCATGACCCACATATCAAGCGGGTGCAGTTCCTCTCCAGCCCTTACAACAGCTGTGCCACTGTCATCTTTGTCACACACATGGTAGAACTGTCCAGCATTCCTCTCCTCATTTCCCATTCCTCTGTCATCCTTGGAGGTTTCTTCAGCAGGATCAGCTACCATGTTGGCACCTCCATGTGGTTGCTTTCCTCCATTCCCCTTTTGCGATTGGTTCCAAGGGGTCCACCAGTCGGGCTTGGTAGAGCAGCGAAACCATGGATGCCCTTCTTCCTTGCAATACCAGCACTCTCCCCTCAAGCGTGGTTCACTGTTGTCATTGTTGGAGTGACCACCTCTTCCTCTTGCACCAGCGCCACCACGCCCCCGCTGGTTCCAAGTCCCGCGACCACCTTGGTTGTAGTAGGAGCGACCGCGATTGCCACGCCCTCGATCCCTCCATGTCCCTTGCATGGCATAGCCGCTGGTGCTGTCATCACCTCCGCGCAGTGTATAGCGACGAAAATCTTCTTCCAGAATCTTGGTGCGAATCCACTCCAATGTCCATTGACTTTGGTTTTGTGGCAAGCTGAGTCCGCTTATAAATTGCAGCCAAGACTCGGGCAGCAGGCTGAGCATCTTGAGACACTTAGTCTGCTCAGGGTACGTGATGCCTGCAATCGCCAATTTCGCGTAGAGTTCCCTCATCTTGTCCAGTACGGGCTGCACATGTTCATTCTCGCTCAACCGCAGCATGGACAGCTCCCGATCCAGCATGAGAGAAGCGGCAACCGATGTCGGAGCGTGCAGGTCCTTGAGCACTGCCCATGCCTTGGGCCCACAATCAATTTCCGGTAGCAGATGCATGATGTGATGCCTCTGGTTCAGCTCCAAGCTTTGTGACAGTAGATAATACCCAGCAGATGAACGTTCATCCCAGTCCGCTTGCTCTGCCATTTCCTTTGGCCTTGGCTCCGTTCCAATCATGAGCTTCAAGAGGCCAATTTGTCGAAAGTAGAGCTGCATCTTCCATGCCCAATCATCATAGCCATCTCCAGAGAACTTCTCAATGGTGAATTTCTTCAGCACCTCCTTAAGCAGTGACCCCTGGCTTGTACGCGCTCCCCTTTGCGCTGCAATGCCAGAATCCTGGGTTGAGCTGCCTCCTTGGACTGAAGTATCACCTCCACCAGAGTCCTCCTTATCTCCCATCGTATTTTAGGTCCCAAATGCGTGATAATGGGCTCTGATACCACTTGTTGCTTAGAGAAGGCTATAAGCAGATGATTCAATGGCTCCTTGGAAATTTCTGCAGCACTTCGTTATGACGCCCAGAAAACTCGCGACCTTCGAAAAGCTATATCCAAAACTCCAATCGGTGAAACGATATGAAAATCGGATATCTTGTAGCTTGCAGCGTCAGCTTTCCACTGAAAGTTGAATCACTCGATTCCGTAGCTTAACGAGCGAGCTATGGCGATTGGCGCACTGGGGGGTAATCTGCCCTAGGAGAAGTTGACAATCCTCAGAGTCACACTGATTGAAGCTTACAAGTTCAGAGGCATGATAGAAAAGGCATTGAAGCACAGTTGGAAGGTAGGGATGGAAGGGAAGGATGAAAGGGAAGGACCCTGGAGGCCCATGGTTAAGAACATGACAAGAGTCAAAGTCTTGACTCCCCATCCTCAGGTTCAGCCAGCCTGGCAAGACAAAATTCACACTGTACCAGGTTGGCCTCCAAACCCCAAATGCTGCAGCTGCAGGGTGGGGACAAAAGTCCCACACATGCTGGTCCCTCCTCGTTATAGGGCTCTCCAACTTTGGTGTAGCAGCTGACAAGGACTTCCAATGAGTTGTAACAAATCCATCAAACATTTCTTCGTAACTTCTTCATATGTGCTCCGATTCCAACAATTCTTGGCTCGTTGGAATGTGCTCGATGTCATGCACAAACCAAGCACATCTGCACAAGCACAAGACGAACATGCAAAGACATGCAAACCCAACAAACCATACAAACAATGTAGCGCACAAAACACATGCAACGAAATGATGCGAACAGACGACAGGATGACGTGCAAACGAATATGCACCAACATGTCATTGCTATCCAGTGCTTGTGTGTGTGTTTGAATGGTGTATCACAATGTGGTTTGTGTCGGTCAAGACATTAGCGAGTTTCTACAACTCGCATGTCAAGTCGTCGTTTCTGTGTCGCATGTGTTTTTTCTATTTTGTCGAGTGTGAAGAGTCCATCGCATCGCAGGTGTGTCCAGCAAGCCCCCATTAACTCAGGAAGAATTTATCTTGCAGAACCAAGACCAAGAGGTCAAGATTTCAAGCCCAAGGGACACGGATAAATATTAAATAGTGAAAATAGTAACGCTACTTCGTGTAGTGTTACATTTCACTTGGTGTAGCCCCTTGGAGGGTTTGTTTCGAGAATCTTCATGGTTGGGGACTCTGGTGGTGTACCACCAACCTAGACCTCGGCTCTTGGGGTATGTAGAGGCTGGGAACCATCTCCCTCTCGAATTCTTCGTCCTAAGTTTTTGTACTCCTATGACTATAGTGGCTGCTGTACCTCTTGCCAGTAAAACCGCCATAGCATCGTCAAATCTTCATGGAATTTCATGATTCAACTTGCTGCTGATAGACGACAGCAACGCCCTCCAGATCCATTTTACAGATCACTGTTTAACTCAGTGAGCAGATCGTTATCAATATTTGAACCGTCTGACAAAAATCCGACAGTGCTCTCTATCTCTCATTATAGGCACATCTAAGCCTATTGTGATTATAACAGGGCGAAGCACATCCAGCTGCGGTGCTTTCTGCTGCATAAGTTGCAGCGGTGCGTTTAGGCTTATGTGGTACATTTGGCCTCAGAGGCCAACACCGCTGATATCTTCACCAAGGGACTACTGCCTCGTAACCACCAGCGGTTCTGTACCCAGCTTGGTCTAGTCTCAGTCGCAGCTTTGCTCCTTGTATCCTGATACATACTATACCCACTTGTACTTTCTGTCTTGTTACACTTGCTGAGGCCTTGTGGTCTCTTGCCTCCGTGGTTAGACTAGTAGTGCTGCCCTGAGTTGTCTTGTTATGCACCTTCACCAAAGGGCAGACTAGTAGTGCTGCCTTGGTTTGTTCTGGTTTGTCACGCGCTGCCCCTACATAGGCTAGGGGGTGTGTCAACTAACAAACATACAGTGGCGGAAACAATTTTTCGTATGTTTTGCAATAATTTGGGTTTTTAGGCTTTAAGACCATTATACATTAAGTCTTAATGTTTAATGGTGGTACGATTTGCGAGAGGCACATTGTGGATGTGTTCATAGCACAAATATCGAGAATAGTACATTGGATCTAACTCATACCCCAAAAGATATACAAAGGGTGCATCCGGACAAATAGTTCAAAGCAAAGAGAGCAAACTTCAAAAGTGTGTTTCTAGTTCCTAGCCCACCGACCTTTGGCCTTGATCACCGCCCGCACCCTCCTAGGCGAGCTGTCGATAAGGCTAGAGCAAACCTCGGCATGGATCTTCTCCCATTCTTCCTGGACCATCTCTTAAAGCTCCAGCATTCCAGAGGAAAGCCTTTTAAGCTTGGCTAGCTCCCTTTTCAGGTAAGCCCAGAGGTTGAGGTTTGATGAGAAAGAAGGCCACTTCAGGGCTACATACTCATGTTCTCCAAGTCATTCCTACACTAGGCATAACAAAATCTTGGGGTCATTGTTCGCACCGAGATGACCTTAGAGGGGAAAATGTTATAGAAATGGAGGGTCAATTCGATTTCGTCATGCAAAATGCCCTCATACAGGGGCCTCTCCATGCGTCCGTCAATATTGCGTATGAACCTCACCCTCGCACATGTCACACATCCCCACACCATTACCCATCCTTGTCCCCATGGTTTACCGTCTGTTTGATTTGGTGGTGCTGCAGGGTTGTGCCTTCATGAATCAAGGCAAAAACGGGGCCATTGGAGCTGAAGCAATTGATGTTGGTCATATTTGACCTGATCACATGCTTTCAAACACTAATTGTGCACTCAGCATGCGACTCCACGAATTGCAACCGGCCCCTGATATTTTTCCAGAACAGTCATAACTTCTATGACTGCTGCACCGTGAGTAGACCCACGAACCCTAATGTGTTTTTAATGGTGCAAGGGTGCACAGTCAACCGTGCAACGTTACCCTCAGTTTCGCGGTGTCTACGCTAGATTTGGCAGCTCTATACGTGATTTTACCCTACAATGGTACGACGAAGACAATCCATGATAAGATGGGCCCGATCGGCTAGTTGCATCTTTTGCCACACCTCAGCATGGCTAGTCTCAAAGCCCCTTCTACGGCCGTGCCCACGGCCCATGCTTGCAACTCCGGCACCATTGGGACCCGCCAATTCGCGACGGCGGAAATATTCTTGCAAGATTTCCCGCATCTCATCTACGAGTGAGAGACGGGGCAGATCTCGATTAAGGTTGATGATGAGCGAGGACCATGAGTCCGGAAGTATGGCCAGCAGCTTGGTCTTCTTTTGAAGGTCACTGTAGTTCAGGTCAGCTCCTTTGAGCCGTGTCAACAAGTCGAACAATTTCTGCACTCCTTCCTCCACCGGTTCGCCTTCGTCAATTCGAAGTGCCGCCATTTGCCACTCCAAAACCACAGCCACCGCCGCTGTTGCAGGAGCGTGTACACCCTTGAGAGCAGCCCGTGCCTTTGGTCCCTTTGCTGGTTCACGCTGAAAAGGCTTGATGTGACGGATTTGGCTGCTCCCCAACGCTTGCCCAAGTAGAAGGTAGCCTTGTGCGCTCTTTCACACCCACGGGCTCTTCTCCGGGTCGTTCTCGGGGCGCTTCTCCGTTCCTTCCATCACCTCCAGCAGATCATAGTGGTCAAAGATGTTCTCCATTTTGAAGGACCACTCAGCAAAGTTGTCACCATTGAACTTGTCAAGGCCAAACACTCTAGGCTCATCCCTAGAGGGTCCAAGGCTAGGTTGCACCGGAGCAACGGGTGGATCTTGATGTTGACCTTGTGCTTGGGCATCTTCTCTTCCTCCAGCACCTCTGCCACCCCCTTCCTCAGGTCCAGGCATGGTCGAGACGGCTCCAAGGGGCTCTGACACCACTTGTTATAATCACAATAGGCTTGGATGTGCCTATAATGAGAGAAAGAGAGCACAGTCAGATTTTCGTCAGACGGCTTCAAATTTTGAGACTGGGAGGGTACGGCTTTGTTGCGACAAGCAGGCACCGACCAGTCCACTGGTCGGCTGCCAAGAGGGTATTGCGGTATTTGGTGAGTACATCAGGACTTGGGTCTGTGCTAGGAGGACAGGAGCCAGTGGTGCTCACTGGACAGACAGACGCGTCGTGGGCCGACGACTTGGAGACACTCAGGTCGTCTCAGGGCTACTGTTTTAGCCTTGGTGGTGATGTAGTCTCGTGGAGGTCCACTAGGTCGTCGTCTGTAACTTAGTCCAGTTGTGAGACAGAGGTCTACGCCGGGGCCATGGCAACTCAGGAGTTCCGCTGGCTGTCGTTCCTGCTCACTGACTTAGGTGAGGCGTCAAGATCTGCCCCGATCCTATTTGCGGACAACAGCGCCATGATCCTCCTGTGTCAGGAGGCTTGACTTGAGGGCAGGGCGTGTTGGTGCAACCCTATGGCTTGCACTCGGCTTGTCGTCCTTGTTTGTGTGTGTGCATGCATGGCGTGGAATGAATTGTGAGTCCATGTCATTGCTATCTAGTGCTTGTGTGTGTGTTTGAATGGTGTATCACAATGTGGTTTGTGTCGGTCAAGACATTAGCGAGTTTTTACAACTCGCATGTCAAGTCGTCGTTTGCGTGTCGCATGCGTTTTTTCTATTTTGTCGAGTGTGAAGTGTCCATCGCATCGCAGGTGTGTGCAGCAAGCCCCCATCAACTCAAGAAGAATTGATCTTGCAGAACCAAGACCAAGAGGTCAAGATTTCAAGCCCAAGGGACACAGATAAATATTAAATAGTGAAAATAGTAACGATACTTCGTGTAGTGTTACATTTCACTTGGTGTAGCCCCTTGGAGGGTTTGTTTCGAGACTCTTCATGGTTGGGGACTCTGTGGTGGTGTACCACCAACCTAGACCTCGGCTCTTGGGGTATGTAGAGGCTGGGAACCATCTCCCTCTCGAATTCTTCTTCCTAGGTTTTTGTACTCCTAAGACTATAGTGGCTGCTGTACCTCTTGCCAGTCAAACCGCCATAGCGTCGTCAAATCTTCATGGCAATTCATGATTCAACTTGCTGCTGATAGAAGACAGCAACGCGCTTCAGATTCATTTTACAGATCACTGTTTGACTCAGCGAGCAGATCGTTATCAATCTTTGAAGCCGTCTGACGAAAATCAGACTGTGCTCTCTATCTCTCATTATAGGCACATCTAAGCCTATTGTGATTATAACAAGTGGTATCAGAGCCCCTTGGAGCCGTCTCAACCATGCCTGGACCTGGGGAAGGGGGTGGCAGAGGTGCTGGAGGCAAAGAAGATGCCCAAGCACAAGGTCAACATCAAGATCCACCCGTTGCTCCGATGCAACCGGCCTTGGACCCTCTAGGGATGAGCCTAGAGTGTTTGGCCTTGACAAGTTCAATGGTGACAACTTTGTTGAGTGGTCCTTCAAGATGGAGAACATCTTTGACCACTATGATCTGCTGGAGGTGATGGAAGGAACGGAGAAGCGCCCCGAGAACGACCCGGAGAAGAGCCCGTGGGTGTGAAAGAGCGCACAAGGCTACCTTCTACTTGGGCAAGCGTTGGGGAGCAGCCAAATCCGTCACATCAAGCCTTTTCAGCGTGAACCAGCAAAGGGACCAAAGGCACGGGCTGCTCTCAAGGGTGTACACGCTCCTGCAACAGCGGCGGTGGCTGTGGTTTTGGAGTGGCAAATGGCGGCACTTCGAATTGACGAAGGCGAACCGGTGGAGGAAGGAGTGCAGAAATTGTTCGACTTGTTGACACGGCTCAAAGGAGCTGACCTGAACTACAGTGACCTTCAAAAGAAGACCAAGCTGCTGGCCATACTTCCGGACTCATGGTCCTCGCTCATCATCAACCTTAATCGAGATCTGCCCCGTCTCTCACTCGTAGATGTGATGCGGGAAATCTTGCAAGAAGATTTCCGCCGTCGCGAATTGGCGGATCCCGATGGTGCCGGAGTTGCAAGCATGGGCCGTAGGCACGGCCTTGGAAGGGGCAGAGGGCGAGGAGGAAGATTTGGCAGCAGTAACTTCAGTGGAGGCCGTGGTAATGGAGGATATGGCAGCAACAACAACAATGGCTACGGGCGTGGGCGCGGTCGATTTGATGGCGAATGCCACTTTTGCCACAAGACCGGCCACATGTGGAGAGATTGCTTCAGATTGCCTGATGGATGGACCCCTTCTCAAGGCCAAAAGGGCAGAGGAGCAAGGGGAGGAAGAGGCAGAGGTCGTGGAGGCCGTGGTGGTCGTGGAAGCGAAGCGGCAAGCATGAAAGGTGGAGACTACGACAAGGACTCGAGTGAAGATCGATACCCGGGCCAATTCTTCTTTGTCTCCACGCAAGCGGCAGCTGCAGCAGGAGGTGTGGAAGGCTTTGAGGAGCCAGCTACTGTGGGAAAGGTCACCCTTTACTCTCTGGACTTTTGGGTGATCGATAGCGGCGCCACCTATAGCATTACACCTCGTGCGGACTTGCTCACCGAACTCGAACCATCGCCGGACAAGCATGTTACATCGGCTTTGGGGCAGCGAGCAGAGGTGAAAGGCATGGGCAAGGCCATGTTCAAGGGTGCTGATGGGAAGATGGTGGGTCTCAAGAACGTGCTTTGGGTGCCCAACCTTGCAGCCAACCTGATTTCTGTGCGGCGTTTGCAAAAGGCCGGCATGGACACATCTTCTAAGGGATCCAAAACCTATACCGCGAGGCTTGGTGAGCGGAAGCTTTGGGACCTTCATGAGGACAGGGACATCTACAATGATATGTGGCAAATCCCAGTGGTCCCCATGCCTAAGAAGAGGCAAGTGGCAGCAAGCGTCAGCACCGAGAGTGAAGCGGTTGGTGGCGGTGATCAGGGTAAGCAAAGTGACACCAAGATTGACTCGAAGGAGTGCAATCTTGGAGAGACTAGCAAGGCGTGTGAACCCAAGGACAGTGGTGCGGCAGCCAAAGAAGGTGGAAAAGAGGAGGGGAAGGCTAAGATCAGCAAAGCAGCAGCGGCAAAGGAGAAAGGAGAGAGCTTGTGGGGCACAATTGCGAGTGCCGCTTTCTCCAACCCGACTTCCGCTACGGGAGAGTGTGATTGGCTGACCTTGCATCGGCGAATGGGGCATGTGGCATTGCCCATTTTGCAGCAGATAGTTAAGCAAGAGATGGTCAGTGGGATACGTGTCAAGGGGAAGCCCAATGAGGTGCTTGGCTGTCCAACATGCATGCAAGCCAGGTTCACCCGCTACCCGTTCCATAGCTCGGAGACAACGGCGAAGGCACCACTTGATGAGGTGGTGATGGATGTGGTGGGCCCCTTGAAGCTTGGAGCTGCTGGAGCAGAGTAATTCTTCACCATTGTGGACGTCTACACTCGCATGACCTGGGTGTATGTGCTGCCGAAGAAGAGTGGCGTAGCTGAAACGGTGAAGACCGATTGGTTGCCGATGGTGGAACGGCAACAAGACCGACTTGTGAAGGCGATTCGCAGTGATCATGGGGGAGAGTTCCTGAGCAAGGATTTCTCAACTTGGCTGAAGAAGCAGGGCATAAGGCACTCTCTTACCATGCCCTACTCTCCTGCAATGAACGGCATTGCCGAGCGTGCGAATCGGACACTCACAGAGACGGCTCGGGGACTTCTCATTGAAGCCGGTCTACCCAATTACTTTTGGCCGGATGCGGTGCAGCATGCTTGTGTGGCTAAGAACAGAGCCTTGACTCACGTGGGAGAAGACAAATGGGTGCCCTATGTGGAGTGGATTGGAAGGAAGCCGAAGGTGGATATGCTTCGGGTGTTCGGGTGCATGTGCATGGCATTTGTGCCTAAGAAACTTCGGCACAACAAGCTTGATGCCAAGGCAACATGGGCCGTGCACCTGGGCATGGCTCAAAACAGCAAGGGATGGCTTCTATGGGACCCATTTACCAAGAAGTTCTTGGTGAGCAGAGATTGCAAGTTCATGGAGAACTTACCGTACAAGGAGTGGAAGGCGGAGAACCAAGTGAAGATTGGTGTGCGCCTTGGAAAGGTGAAGAGTACCGGCTTGGAGCATGTGGAGCTGCCCTTCGAGCTGAGTAGCAGCAGTACAATCACAAGGAAATCTCCTCAAATGAATGGGGGAGAAGAGGAGGAGGAGGTGCAGCAAGGTGATGAGCGTGCACCGTCAGTTCTGCCTCGTGCTACAAGTGCTCGTTGGAACCGACCAGATTTGCAGCAACGCCATGAGAGCATCCAAGTCCCTGCAGCAGAGGAGGAAGGAAGGGGGAGAAGGAGGACTCACCCCCCCAATAGGTTGAGCTATGACCGGCTTGGAGGACCAGCCAACTCAACCTTGACCGGTTCGGCTCTCATGCTAGGCGATGATGCGGAAGATGAAAGTGAGGAGTGCGCTTTTGCCTTCTTCTCTCCGGTGGAGATGCCGGGGGAGCCTACAAATCTCAAGGAGGCTTGGGAGGGCCCAATGAGAAGGAGTGGAAGAAGGCCTCAGATGAAGAAATGGGGAGCATCATAGAGAATGACACATTTGACTTGGTGAACCTTCCTCCGGGGCGGAAGGCGATCTCTTCCAAGTGGCTCTTCAAGCGCAAGACCGACGCCGACGGCAACATTGAGCGCTATAACAGCAGACTTGTAGCCAAGGTGTATCAGCAGTAAGAGAAGAAGGACTACAATGAAGTGTATACCCCTGTGCTGAAAGGTACAACCCTTCGAACCTTCTTCTCCGCGGCGGCCATCAAAGGATGGGAGGTGAAGCAAATGGATATAGTAACGGCCTTTCTCAACGGCGTTTTGGAGGAAGAGACCTACATGGAGCAGCCAGAGGGGTACAATGATGGGAGTGGCAGAGTGTGGAAGCTGAAGAAAGCACTCTATGGCCTCAAGCAAGCCCCTAGGCAATGGTACATCAAGCTGCGGGAAGTCTTGGAGGCGATCGGCTTCACTCCCTCAACGGCCGATCAATCCTTGTTCATGCTTAGCGAGGGGGAGCAGAGGAGCTTCATGGTGGTTTATGTAGATGACATCCTCATATTCTCACGCTCCTCTGACCTTGTGAAGGAGGTGATGCTGAAGCTCCACGACAAGTTCAAGTACAAGACCCTTGGTGACGTCAACTACTACCTTGGGCTTGACATTGAGCGAGATGTGGAGAGGCGGTGGATGCGAGTGCATCAAAAGAAGTACTTGGAGGCCTTGGCTGCAAATTTTGGGAAGAATGAAGGTCATGTGGCTACTCCTCTTCCCTCAGGGTTCAAGTGTGTGAAAGGACCAGCAGAGGAAAGTGTTGGTGAAGAGGAGAGGCGGCGTTTTCACTCCTTGGTGGGCAGCCTCATGTATGCGGCCGTTCACACAAGGCCGGATGCAGCCTTTGCTACCGGGCAGCTGGCTAGGGTTGTCCAATGCCCTAATGAAGAGCAGGTAGCAGCTGGAGAGAGAGTGGCCAAGTATCTTGGCCAAACAGCAACTGTTGGACTGCAATACTCCGCTGCGGCACAAAGGCGTCAAAAGGGTGCGGATGGAGTCGAACCCGGGAGGCTCTTTCTCACCGCCTTCTCTGATGCATCTTGGGCATCAGAACCAGAGGATATGACAAGTGTGGGAGGCTTCATCTGCTGTGTTGGTGGAGGCCCAACAGCTTGGGAGAGCAAGATGCAAGTGGACCAAGCATTGAGCTCGGTGGAGTCCGAGTACATTGCACTCTTCCGTGCCATAAGAGAGGTTGTGTGGCAGCGGCGTTTGCTAGCTGAATTGGGGGAGGAGCAGCAAGGACCTACCCCACTCTATTGTGATAGCCAGGATGCTATTGCATTGGCTAAGAACCCGGTTCTTCATGGCCTTACCAAGCACATGAAGGTGAAGTGACATTGGGTGAGGAGCATGGTAACCTCGGGTGAAGTGGAGTTGCACTACGTGAAGACGATGGCGCAGCTAGCTGACATGATGACCAAGAGACTTCAACAGCAGCAACGGCAGCAGCGGCAAAGGCATCAGCTGGAGGAGATGCAAATGCACCAACTAATGGGGTCCTGGAAGCAGTCAAGAAAGTGCAGCAGCAGCAGACACATGGCGAGGTGCTTGCTGGTGTGGATGCAAGCGCGGTATGGGCTAAAGCTTCATCCAGGAGTGGTGAGGCCGATTGGGAGACATGGCATGAGAGGCTGTGTCATGGCATGAGAGGCCGATGTCATCATATGCTATCACATTCTGTCTGCCTCCCATCCCATGTTTTCAAATTGCATGTGTGGTTTGAATGTGTGCAAGCATTTATGTGTGGTCTATTCTGGAGTTTGGGAATGTGTTCTGTGTTATTTTTGTTTGAGCAGATATTTGTGATAATAGATCTTGAGAAGATCTTTCCGACGCAACAAGAATCGCTTCAATCGGAGCAAGAACGCGAAAGCTATGAAGATTCAAAGTTCATGAGCTTGCGTTACAATTGCGGCGGTTACAAAGTGAAGTTGTGGGGTGACTCTATATGGATTTGGGACCTTTGGGGTTGGGAAAATTCGTCACTCTACTGTAGCAGCTGCAAATTGGTTGGGAACAACCAAACTAGGTTGGCAAGGGTGGCCAACTTGGATGGATTGGTTTGGGAAGGGACAAATGTCAAATTTGGGGTTCCTATAGGGAGGGAATCTTTGTGCTTCTGGAGCTTCCTTGGTTGGGGACTCTCTTGGGACCTTCCCTCTCATCCCTCTCTTTCTATCCCAACCTTTCTCTTGCTTCACTGATTTCATGCGGGATTCTTGAACCTTAATTGAAGTTTGAGATTGAGTTAAGTTCTTCTCCTACAGCTTACCCCTCCAAGCGTCGAAAGACATAGCGTCGCGAATACTCCATCGATCAACGTGATTTGAATTGGGAACGGTAGCTAAGATTACGAGCTACAACATATCCAAGTTTCGCGGCATTCCAATGGCTATTGTTTTGTTGACGACGTTTCTTGTGGAGACGACTTTTCTGTCCTGAATTTCGGATTTATATTTTGAGTAATTCTAGCTCCTAAGCACACCTAGATTCCGTCCTTAATCCTAACAGGACTAGCACCCCCGGACACACCACTCACCAAACCTGCACCCACAGAGTCAGCACCTCCGGAACCAGCGCCCACAGAACCAGCACCCCTAGAACCAGCATCCCCAAATCCAGCACCACCAAAGCCCAATACCTCCTCTTGCTGCTGCTTCTATAGCTATGGCTGCTGAGTCTGCTACTGCGGCTGCGGCTACTGCTGAGGCAAGGGGGGAGGCGGCTGAGGTACCTGGGGTACCGAAGCTGGGGGAGGCGTCACAGAGGCAGCACGCGAGCCCCCAGCAGCTAGGTCCAGCCGACTCCCCCACGGGCCCAACCGAGGGAGCGTAGGGGCATGGGAGACACCAGACGGGGCAGGGCGAGGTGGGAGGTATTGTGGAACCCTATGGCTTGCACTCGGCTTGTCGTCCTTGTTTGTGTGTGTGCATGCATGGCATGGAATGAATTGTGAGTCTATGTCATTGCTATCCAGTCCTTGTGTGTGTGTTTGAATGGTGTGTCACTATGTGGTTTGTGTCGGTCAAGACATTAGCGAGTTTTTACAACTCGCAAGTCAAGTCGTCGTTTGTGTGTCGCATGTGTTTTTTCTATTTTGTCGAGTGTGAAGTATCCATCATGTCGCAGGTGTGTGCAGCAAGCCCCCATCAACTCAAGAAGAATTTATCTTGCAGATCCAAGAACAAGAGCTCAAGATTTCAAGCCCAAGGGACGCGGATAAATATTAAATAGTGAAAATAGTAACGTTACTTCGTGTAGTGTTACATTTCACTTGGTGTAGCCCCTTGGAGGGTTGGTTTCGAGACTCTTCATGGTCGGGGACTCTGTGGTGGTGTACCACCACCCTGGACCTCCGCTCTTGGGGTATGTAGAGGCTGGGAACCATCTCCCTCTCGAATTCTTCTTCCTAAGTTTTTTGTACTCCTAAGACTATAGTGACTGCTGTACCTCCTGCCAGTCAAACCGCCATAGCGTCGTCAAATCTTCATGGAATTTCATGATTCAACTTGCTGCTGATAGGCGACAGCATCGCGCTCCATATCAAATTTATAGATCACCGTTTGAGGAAGAGAACAGATCGTTATCAATATTTGAAGCCGTCTGACGGAAATCCGACTGTGCTCTCTATCTCTCATTATAGGCACATCTGAGCCTATTGTGATTATAACAGGAGGGGTGTGTCAAGCGGGGCAGGGATGAGGAAGAGAGGAGGTGGAGGAGCAGAAAGGCTGCGGTGAGGGAAGAGCTTGTATTAAGGGAGCGTCTTGTCGAAGATAACATCACGTGGACGGTAGAAGTGGTGGTGTGCCAGGTGGTAGAACAGCCAGTGGGGGGCATCAAGCGAAAACCCCAAAAAGACACAAGGGTGCGGGCTGAGAGCTTGTCTGCGCCAATAGCGAGGACGTGAGGAAGGCTGTCCCATACGTGAAATGCAGGTGCATCACCAGGAGACTCAAGTCCATAGAAGGGTCGGCGAAACCTGCGGCCGCTGGGAGTGCGACCACAGGTTAAGCCGGTGAGAAGCGTAGTGCATTGCAAACGGCCACAGAAAATGGGGTGCACCAGCGTGGACCATGGAGGTGCGAGCTACCTCCATGACCAAACCGATGCATCGCTCAGTGACCCCATTCTGATGTGGGGAGTCTGACAGTGTGTATGCCTAGCAGATGCCGTTCGCACTACGAAACTGTCCTAGAGGTGAACTCGCCACCATGGTCAAAGTGTAAGCAAACTACAGGCGCGCGGTGCTGGGTGCAAAAAGCGAGAATCCACGGGAGGAGAATGGTAGGCACGTCGGCCTTCCACTCCAATGGGAACACTGTAGTGAACCGCGAGAGTTCGTCAATGACGACTAGGAAATAGCGTTTTTGACTAAGACCATGGACCAGGGCAGGGCCCCAGACGTGCATGTGCAGTGTCTGTAGCAGCGCACGGGTAGGAGGAAACGAGGAAGAGTGAAGGGCAGCGCGCTGCCGTCCCTCGACGTAGGAGGTGCACAGTGGGGCTACCGACGCAGGCAGAGCGGGGAGCGACCTAGGGAGGCTAGTGACTAGATCATGCTGGGACATGTGCCTAAGACGCGGAAGTGCAGGGTGACCTAAGCGGTGGTGACGCTGCAGGACGCGGCTACCTAAGCCAACGCAGCAGCCGGCTGGGACTCAGTGTGCAGCGTGAAGCGACCGGAACCTGGGTCACACTCAAAAGTGGTTAGGTGGCGACCGGTGGCTGTATCTGTACACGTGACGTGCCTCTGGCCAGGGGACGTGGTGGTGACTCCTCGGTTTTGGACGTGACCAACACCCACCAGGATCCTGGCAAATGAGGAGATGCGCAAACCGGTGAGGGAGCCAAAGAGGACATCTGGACAGGGGAAAGTGGCGGAATTGCGTGCGACAGCTGTGGTGGAGGAGTCTGCTAATGCGATGCAGACAGGCGTTGGAAGCGGGGTAGAGAGCAGTACTATCTCTGAAGAAGCAATGAGATGCGCTAGAGTCTAGGATAAAGGAGAGGGCCAAGGTGGCAAGGCGAAGTGAAGAATCTCCAATAGAGTCTACGCCTGACACAGTAGGGGATTCTATGCCTGTCGCAGTATGGGATCCTAGACTACACACAGCAGTGGCTCCTAGGCTACAAACAACAGGATAACAAGAACCAGCAGTAGCATCATCAAGATACAGAGAATACAAGGCATGGTCAATCTGAATCATATCCACATCAATGATATGAACACTACAACGAAGGAAGGCAGGCCAGGGAGGTAACTACACCAGCGGGCCGAACTGACGGCGGTAGATGTCGTCTAGGCGGCAGTACCAACGAGCGGCGGTGTGCACCGGGCGCCCGCAGACGGACTGGTCAGCAACTGGTATGTGCAGGTCACTGTGCCTCCAGAACCACCAGCACCCTGGCTCACAGAAGAGCCACGCGACCCCCAGAGCCCGACTGCCCTGGGGACCAACCTCTACGGCCTCCACCACGATCACCACTTACAGGGCCTGTCACCCCCCACAGTAGCTGCTGCTTGTGCTACACAGTCCCCCACTCCGACTGGCCATCCTCTTTGTCTGCACCCGCAACCCCTCCACCCGCTCCTGCCGACCCCCTATGAACCTTGCCCCTTTTTTCCTTGCCTTTGCCGCCCAAGGAGCGGCCTGGAGCAGAGGCAGCCGCTGCATTCTCGTTGGCAGAGGCGAAGGCAGGAGGGACATTCATCTGGAAGGGAGCGCTGCCCTGAAAGGTAGGGACCGCAGGCATTCGAGTGGAACCAGCGATGGCGCAGAGGCAGTCCTCTATCTTATTCAGGGCGGTAGAGAAGAGGTCAAGGGTGAGCTCAGAGGGGTGGCGAGCAAGGAGGGTGTCACAGGCAGGGGCAAGGTGGTTAGGGAGGCGTGTGACCAGGGAGTAGGTAGTGGCGTAGAGGAGGGGTGGGGCAAGGGCCAGCTGGGACTCAGTACAAGTCGTACGTCAGCAGGCCTCGAGGGAGCGCATGTGCTCGACTAACCCTTCTACAACCCCTTGTGCGCCCATTGACCCACTAAGGTGTGAATGGGGGTGATGCTAGAACTAAGGCGGAGCAGCATCTCGAGGCTTACGGAAAGGAGTTTGATGCAAGGGCCAAGCATGGCCGGACTCAGCATCCAAAATCATGGAGCAAGCGGACCGCCAATTGACAGGGCTCACCTACAACTTTCCCTCCTACGAAGAGGGCACGAAGGGGAAACTACGACCCATGCAGGGATGTGGGTGGGGCGGGGCCCGGAGAGGGAAGAAGTATGAGAGTCAGCGTGCAAGAGGTGAGCTAGAGGTGGGGGGCTGCAGACTAGCGCTGGGGCTGTCGTGCAAGCTCGCTGCACCTGGCATGCTCCCATGCTCCCATGCTCTGGTGCTCCCATCCTCCCATACTCCCATGCTCCTATGCTCCCCTTAATCCCAAGCTCCCATGGGCCCTTGGTCCCATCCTCCCATACACCCATGCTCAAAGGGGAGCTTGCTCCCATCCTCCCATACTCGGATCCTTCCATGCTTCCATGCTCCCATGCTCTCGTGCACCCATGCTCCCATGCTCCAATGGTCCAATGCTCCAATGCTCTCGTGCTCCCCATGCTCAGCACGCCCCCATGCTCCCCTGCTCACATGCTGCCAATGCTCCCATGCGAGCAAGCTCACCATGCTCCCATGGGCCCGTGCTCCCATGCACACATGCTCCCATGGTCCCATGCTCCCATGCTCCCAAGATCAGCATGCTCCCATACGCCTCTGCTCCCATGTTCCCATGCTCCCATGCCCTCATGCTCCCATGCTCCCCTGCTCCCCTACACCAGCCCTTAGAGTCTGTGACCCCTTGTGCGTGTGGTGCTTTGCCTTGAGGGTGGCAGGCCATGGAGAGCAGAGCGGGCCCCCACAAGCCGGGGATGCTTCCATCACTGGAGCACAGCCCCCACCGTCGAAGGAAGCCAGCCCGGCAAGCCATGCAACCGGGACTGTTGATGATGCAACGCGACCAACCGGATTGTAAGACCTTTGCTCGGCTGTTGTATGTCATGGCTAGAAGTGTGCTTTCCAAGAGCTGCGACCAACATGTCGTGATGCAACTCACGGTGTGCAGGTCTGGCTCAACCAAACGAGCAAAGCGAGATCGGGCTGTGCCAGTTCCCAGGGGGTGGTCCTCAAGCCCCTCCCTTGACGATGTCCTGGAAAACCGGGTACATCTAATGGGGGCAAAACACGTGCTCACTGAGCTTGCCACCCTGGGATTGTGTTGCCCGGATGAGGCGTGCACCGGAACTATAACTTTGATCTCATGGAATGACGTATGGGCATGCCTCGGTTGGTACTGGCACTGCGATAAATGTATAAAAAGCAGGAAAATGTGGTCCAGTCCAAAAAAGGAACACTTGTCCAGCTTGAAAAAGCCGGGACCCCGAACATCCTCGCTCATGTACAAGTTTGTCGGGGCATTTGCCCTTGCCGGGCAAGGGTATCAAGTCATGTAGGAAGTCTGTCGAAACCTGGGGTTATGCAACCCGGGGAAGAGTACCTTCTATCGTCTATTCTATAACAGGGGAAGGGGGGCTTATGGAATGACATCACCACAGCTGCTAGCAAGTCGATGGCCAACGTGCGTGAAAGCCTGTCGCAGCGTGGGGTTCATCAGTGTCGATGGGAGATGGTCACAGGCACGGGAGGCGGTGTGGTGCACCGTGTCATTTCTGCATCCGGAGTGTCGGAAGATTCTCCATGTTGAAAACACTAAAAAGTGGGAGCACGACCCTTCCTCTCCCAATTTGGAGAGTATCGCCTTCAATAACGGCATGGATTTCCTAGCCAAGACTGGGTTTGAGATGGAGGGTATCGTAACTGATGAGAGTGGGACTTTCCGGACCGCCGCAGCAGAGAGAGGGGTTCCGCACCAAGTCGATTGGTGGCATAGGCGGCGTTCGGTGTCAATGTGCTTTGACGTTGAGGTGCAGGACTTGCTCAGGCCAGTGGTTGCAATCGCTGACGCCAAGGTCATGGAAGATCTACACGCGCACACGGTGTCCAAACTCCGTGCATGGCTGCTTGACAAAACAGCTGAAAAGGTCTGCGGGGCGGTTGGGAAAGAAGGGCTGATAGCAGCGGTGTGCACGGTGCTCCATGTCGAATATTGTGTAGTGAAGCCCGCAGATGCAAAATACATGCACCCGGAGTTGCGCCAAGTGGTGAGCACACAGAGGGGGGAGGAGGGGCAACACAGGAGATCGAAGGGGAGGACTGCGCGGACCCAAAGACGGTGGATGTGCTAGTGCTGTTCTCAGTGATACACTCCATACGGGACAACACTGATCGCGTATCACGAGATGCACCGCAGGCAGAGGGGGAGTGTGTGAAGGGGTCTGCCGAGGGTTCGGTGTCGGTGGATGTGCGCTGGGCAGACGTGGCTGAGTTGTGGAGCTATGACATCCACCCCCGGCACGGTTTCCGCCCTTCCTCGGAAGCCTCACTTGTGGTTGCTGTCGCCTGCAGTGGCGGTCGAGAAGAGTGTGATTTCATGGGTCATTGCTTCAGTTCGACACCAGAATCGACCTCCTCAACAGGTAGCCAGGCTTGCATTGTGTTGGTAACCCCCACCTGTCTTGGTTTGGCATGTATGTTCCGAGCATTTTTTTTACGCTTTACATATACTGTGGTTGTGCAGGCCCTCCTACAACCTCGAGCACAAAGAAACGGCTATGTTCAGCGCGCAGTGCGAAGAAGCGAACCCCCAATTTGGAGCGCGGGGCGGGTCAGCCGGGGGAAAGGGTCAGTGCAAAATTCCTTGAGTTCACCGTCGCGCAGCAACCCCGAACGCATTTCAGGCATGTCATTCTGTGATGTGCTGCAAGTGTGGCCGATGGCACGCCCATGACCCCGGAGGAGGTGTCAGGGGTGTTGGGTTGTGCAGCGGATCATTGGGCAGGGAACATTCCCGCTGTCAGTGCCTAGGAACGACTTCGCCCCACTGTATTTCCGAGGGGTGGGGAGAGGAGAGTGCTATTTATACAAAGGGGTCAGCAACACACAAGGCGGTGTCCGCATGGTTCGAGAAGAGGCTAGGGCCAGCACAGGTGGCGCCTTTCATCCGAGGAGCGAACAGCTCACTCAATGAATCATTTCATTCATTGGTGTGCAAGTATGCTCCGAAGTGGTTGCGGTTTCGTGGTAGTATGGTGGCAAGAGTTGGATTAGCAGTTTTGCACTGGAACAGTTGTGTGGACCGCCTCGTGAAAGGGTATCGCATACGGGTGAGGCGGGCGGCACGCGTTCAATGGGGCTCGGCGGTTCGTATCTTGGGGCCCATGGATTGGTCGTGGGTAGACGAGATCATGCAGCAGTGGTTGCAGGCGGGTGAGGAGGACCCTGCGGAGGCCGACGACGGGGTGGAGGAGGGCGGATTTGAGGCAGCCGGGGATAACTGTCGCAGCGAGAACATCCGGGTGGTGCGCCAATGCACCGTTGCTGGACCAGCCGCCTCCGGTAACTCGACGCCCATGAGAGATCTCACGCTGCATTTCAACCCGGCTGCATTGACTTCCCCGGATGCGGCAGCGGTATCACTGGGGTTGGCACCCCTGTGTCACTTTTATCGTGTTCTGTTTGCTATGCATTTTGCCGCACCATCACACTTCCTCCCATGCACGTCCTTACCTTTGCCACCATTGCGCCCAACCATTCGAGAGTCTAGGATTGTTCTCCAAATTGCTACACCAAAGGCACAATGTCCACTTCCACATGCCCCACCCCTCCCCGCTCCCATGCACAGGGATTGCCAAAGTGCGCTGAATAGTACGATGCCACCGGGTCACCGTTGCGCCACCATGGCTGATTCAACCCCTGCAGTGGTTGTCACAGGTAAGTAGTAGCCTTGCTACCAAATGTGCTTGCATAGATGGAGGGCGGGGTGTAGCACAACGGGAACAGGTGGGACAACTGACGGGTGGAATGCCAAGTGGGGGGGTGGGAAAGCAGGGAGGAAGAAAGTTGGGAGGGGTTGAGCTAAGAGGGGGAAAGCCGAGTGGGGCAAAGATGGGAAAGGGAGAACTGAGAGGAGGAAAGCAGAGAGGCGGTGAGCTAAGAGGGGGAGAGCGGAGAGGGGGAAAGTGGAGAGGGGGAAAGCTGAGAGGGGGGAAGCTGCGAGGGGGTGATCTGAGAGTGGGAGAGCTGAGAGGGTGAAAGCTGAGAGGGGGTAAGCTGAGTGGGAAAGCTACATGGGGGAAATCTGAGAGGCGGAAAGCTAAGAGGGGGAAAGCTAGGAGGGTGAAAGATGAGAGGGGGAAAGCTGAGAGGGGGACAACGGAGAGGGGGTGAGCTGAGAGTGGGAGAGTTGAGAGGGTGAAAGCTGCAAGGGGGAAATCTGTGAGGGGGTGAGCTAGGAGGGGGGGAGCTAGGAGGGTGAGAGCTAGGAAGGGGAGAGCTAGGAGGGGGAGAGCTGAGTGGTGGTCAGATGGGCAAGGTTGAGCTACGAGATGGTGAAGAATGCTTTGGGAGAAGCACGGTGGCGGTATTGCTGAGGGGGGGTGTGCTAAGAAGGGGAGAGCTGGAAGGGGCAACGTTGGGAAGGGTACAGCAACGATGGGGAAAACAACGAAGAGGATAGACGTGAGGGGAATAGCTTTGAGGGGAAAAGCAAGGTGGGGGGGTCTGACTGTGGGACGGCCTGCCAGAATCTGCTGCATCATATCACGAATTGCACTCACTTTTATTCCATAATCTCCCATTTTACGCAGTGTAAAACAGCTCATTGCTTCAATTTTCGGATAACAATACCATGCGTAAAGCGTTGCCTGGCCGCCTCATCACCTATGATGCTAGTGCAGCTAGTCGCCCATGCTTAAGGTGATTGATGTTCATTTCAGGGGTCTGCTTGGTTATCTTGTGGCAGGTTCCTTGTCGCGGTAGGACGCACCCCCAACTTGCGCGTGGTAACTGTTGGGCATCTCAAGATCCTTGGTGGAGGTGACACAGCTGGGTTCATCGATGGTTGGGGACGGTATCCGCTTGCCGTATGGGTCTTAGGTTGTCGAGTGTTACAATAAACATGGTTTTACGATGTTTCTTGGGTAAGAAAACAGTAAACATGACCATGAGGCCGTGCAACACGTGTGTCCACTGGCCACTCTTGTGGCTCACGGTTTCAGCTAGCCCTCTTCTGCCAAGAGTATCTATGCAAACAGGTCTTGTGTTCCTGGTTGTGCCTTCTCCAAACCTTCTAAACCTGGCAGGGTCTGCCGAACAATGTGCTAGGTCCACAACCCTGGTACTTGTAATATGATGACTGCAGCAAATATATAGAAAAACAAACACCGCTCTTAGTGCAGTCAAGCGGGGAAGCTCCAAACACACCAGTAGGAAGCAATGGCCCCTCCTGTATATTGTGCGTCCATCCTCCCCATGTCTCCCTCCTTCCCCCAACTTGCCTACCCCGTCATTCTCTCGTGACCATTCTGCCCACATCCCCACTCCAGTAACCCTACGTTCACCCTGCAGACTGCTCAAAATCCCCCGTCCAGGCATCCACCTTTCCCCATGTCATCTTCCCAAGGTTCCCCTTCCACGCTCCATCCTAACCCCCTGCAGTCTGCCCATGGTCCCCCTTCGTTCCGCCGCTCCTCTGCGCTGCCACTCCTCTCCTCCTCCGCTCCTTGGCTCCTTCCTCCTCCGCTCCTCTGCTCCTCCGCTCCTCTGCTCCTCCGCTCCTCTGCTCCTCCACTCCTCTGCTCCCCCGGTCCTCTCCTCCTCCGCTCCTCTACTCCTCCGCTCCTCTGCTCCTCCGCTCCTCTGCCCCGTCGCTCCTCTCCTCCACCGCACCTCTACTCCACCGCTCCTCTGCTCCTCTGCTTCTCTCCTTCTCCGCGCCTCTCCTCCTCTGCTCCTCTGCACCGGTGCTCCTCTTCTCCTCCGCTCCTCTCCTCCTCCGCCCCTCTGCTCATCCGCTCTTCTCCTCCTCCGCTTCTCTCCTCCTCCGCTCCTCTCCTCCTCCGCTCCTTTCCTCCTCCGCTCCTCTCCTCCTCCGCTCCTCTGCCCCGCCGCTCCTCTCCTCCTCCGCTCCTCTGCTCCTCCGCACCTCTGCTCCTCCTCTTGCCTCCTTCTCCGCTCCTCTCCTCTTCCACTCCTCTCCTCCTTCGCTCCTCTCCTCCTCCGCTCCTCTGCTCCTCCGTTCCTCTGCTCCTCCGCTCCACTGCTCCCCCGCTCCTCTCCTCCTCTGCTCCTCTCCTCCTCCGCTCCTCTGCCCCGCCGCTCCTCTCCTCCTCTGCTCCTCTCCTCTTCCGCTCCTCTGCACCTCCGCTCCTCTGCTACCTCTGCTCCTCCGCTCCTCTGATCCTCCCCTCAACTCCTCCTAGGCTCCTCTCCTCCGCTCTACTCCTCCTCCGCTCCTCTTCTCCTCCTCTCCTCTGCTCCTCCGCTCCGCTCCTCCTCCTCTCCTCTGCTCCTCTGCTCCACTCCACCTCCGCTCCTCTGCTCCTCCGCTCCTCTGCTCCTCCGCTCCTCTCCTCCTCCGGTCCTCTCCTCCTCCAATCCTCTCCTCCTCTGCTCCTCTGCCCCGCCCCTCCTCTCGTCCTCTGCTCCTCTGCTCCTCTGCTCCTCTGCTCCTCTTCTCCAGCACTCATCTGCTCCTCCGCTCCTCTGCTCCCCCCCTCCTCTGCTCCTCCGCTCCTCTCCTCCATCGCTCCTCTCCTCCTCCGCTCCTCTGCTTCTCCGCTCCTCTGCTCCCCCGCTCCTCTGCTCCTTTGCTCGTCTCTTCCTCCGCTCCTCTCCTCCTCCGCTCCTCTGCTCCTCCGCTTCTCTCCATCTCCGCTCCTCTGCTCATCCGCTCCTCTCCTCCTCCGCTCCTCTCCTCCTCCGCTCCTCTGCTCCTCTGCTCCTCTGGTCCTCCGCTTCTCTCCATCTCCGCTCCTCTTCTCCTCCGATCCTCTCCTCCTCCGCTCCTCTGTCCCGCCGCTCCACTCCTCCTCCGCTCCTCTCCTCCTCCGCTCCTCTGCTCCTCCGCTCCTCTGCCCCGCCGCTCCTCTCCTCCTCCGCTCCTCTGCACCTCCACTCCTCCGCCTCCTCTGCTCCTCCGCTCCTCTGATCCTCCCCTCCTCTCCTCCTAGGCTCCTCTCCTCCGCTCCACTCCTCCTCCGCTCCTCTTCTCCTCCGCTCATCTGCTCCTCTGCTCCTCTCCTCCTCCTCTCCTCTCCTCCTCTGGTCCTGTCCTCCTCCGCTCCTCTCCTCCTCCGCTCAACTCCTCCTCCGGTCCTCTGCTCTTCCGCTCCTCTCCTCCTTCGCTCCTCTGCTCCTCCACTCCTCTCCTCCTCCTCTCCTCTCCTCCCCTGCTCCTCTCCTCCTCCGCTCCTCTGCTCCTCCGCTAATCTGCTCCTCGGATCCTCTCCTCCTCCATTCCTCTCCTCCTCCACTCCTCTGCTCCCCCGCTCGTCAGCTCCTCCGATCCTCTGCTCCTCTGCTCCTCTGCCCCTCCGCTCCTCTCCTTCTCCGCTCCTCTCCTCTGCTCCTCTGCCCCGCTGCTACTCTCCTCCTCTTCTCCTCTACTCCTTTTCTCCTCTGCTCCTCTGCTCCTCTCCTCCTCCGCTCCTCTCCTCCTCCGCACCTCTCCTCCTCCGCTCCTCTCCTCCTCCGCTCCTCTGCTCCTCCGCTCCTCTGCCCCGCCGCTCCTCTCCTCCTCCACTCCTCTGCTCCTCTGCTCCAATGTTTCCTCTGCTCCTCCGCTCCTCTGATCCTCCCCTCCTCTCCTCCTAGGTTCCTCTCCTCCGCTGCACTCCTCCTCTCCTCCTCTCGTCCTCCACTCCTCTGCTCCTCCGCCCCTCTGCTCCTCCGCTCCTCTGCTCCTCTGCACCTCTCCTCCTCCGCTCCTCTCCTCTGCTCCACTCATACTCCACTCCTTGGCTCCTCCGCTCCTCTGCTCCTCCGCTCCTCTGCTCCTCTGCTCCTCTGCTCCTCCGCTCATCTGCTCCTCTGCTCCTCTCCTCCTCCTCTCATCTCCACCTCCGCTCCACTGCTCCTCCGCTCCTCTCCTCCTCCGCTCCTCTCCTCCTCCGATCCTCTCCTCCTCTGCTCCTCTGCCCCGCCGCTCCTCTCGTCCTCCGCTCCTCTGCTCCTCTTCTCCTCTTCTCCTCCACTCTTCTGCACCTTCGCTCCTCTGCTCCCTCGCTCCTCTGCTTCTCCGCTCCTCTGCTCCTCCGCTTCTCTCCATCTCCGCTCCTCTGCTCTTCCGCTTATCTGCTCCTCTGCTCCTCTGCTCCTCTGCTTCTCTGCTCCCCCGCTCCTCTGCTCCTCCGCTCCTCTGCTCCTCTGCTCCTCTCCTCCTTGTCTCCTCTCCTCCTCCGCTCCTCTCCTCCTCCGCTCCTCTCCTCCTCCGATCCTCTCCTCCTCTGCTCCTCTGCCCCACCGCTCCTCTCATCCCCCGCTCCTCTGCTCCTCCGCTCCTCTCCTCCTTCGCTCCTCTCCTGCTCCGCTCCTCTGCTTCTTTACTCCAATGCTCCCTGCTCCTCTGCTCCTCCGCTCCTCTGCTCCTCCACTCCTCTGCTCCTCCGCTCCTCTCCTCCTCTGCTCCTCTGAAGCTCCGCTCCACAGCTCCGCGGCTCCTCTCCTCCTCTGCTCCTCTCCTTCTCCACTCCTCTGCTCCTCCACTGCACTGCCCCGCCGCTCCTCTCCTCCTCCGCTCCACTGCTCCTCCGCTCTTCTCCTCCTCCACTCCTCTCCTTCTCCGATCCTCTCCCTTTCTGCTGCTCTGCACGGGCGCTCCTCTGCTCCTCCGCTCCTCTCCTCCTCCGCTGCTCTGCTCCTGCACTCCTCTACTCCTCCGCATCTCTGCTCCTTCGCTCCTCTGCTCCTCCACTCCTCTCCTCCTCCGCTCCTCTCCTCCTCTGCTCCCTTGCCCCGCTGCTCCTCTCCTCCTCAGCTCCTCTGCTCCTCTGCTCCTCTTTACCTCCGCTCCTCTGCTCCTCCGCTCCTTTGCTTCTCCGCTCCTCTCCTCATCCGCACCTCTCCTTTTCCGTTCCACTCCTCCTCCGCTCCTCTCCTCCTCCGCTCCCCTCCTCCTCCGCTCCTCTCCTCCTCTGCTCCTCTCCTCCTCCGCTCCTCTGCTCCTCCGCTCCTCTCCTCCTCTGCTCCTCTCCTCCTCCGCTCCTCTGCTCCTCTGCTCCTCCGCTCCTCTCCTCCTCCGCTCCTCTCCTCCTCCGCTCCTCTGCCCCTCCACTCGTCAGCTTCTCCGATCCTCTCCTCCTCCGCTCCTCTCCTCCTCGGCTCCTCTCCTCCTCTGCTCCCCTCCTCCTCCGCTCCTCTCCTCCTCTGCTATTCTCCTCCTCTGCTCCTCTGCCCTGTCGCTCCTCTCCTCCTCCGCTCCTCTGCTCCTCTGCTCCTCTATACCTCCGCTCCTCTGCTCCTCCGCTCCTCTGCTCCTCCGCTCCTCTGCTCCTCCGCTCCTGTCCTCCTCCGCTCCTCTCCTCATCCGCTCCTGTCCTCCTCCGTTCCACTCCTCCTCCGCTCTTCTCCTCCTCCGCTCGTCTGCTCCTCCGCTTGTCTGCTCCTCCGCTCGTCTGCTCCTCCGCTTGTCTGCTCCTCCGCTCCTCTTCTCCTCCGCTCCTCTCCTCCTCCTCTCATCTCCACCTCCGCTCCACTGCTCCTCCGCTCCTCTCCTCCTCCGCTCCTCTCCTCCTCCGATCCTCTCCTCCTCTGCTCCTCTGCCCCGCCGCTCCTCTCGTCCTCCGCTCCTCTGCTCCTCTTCTCCTCTTCTCCTCCACTCTTCTGCTCCTTCGCTCCTCTGCTCCCTCGCTCCTCTGCTTCTCCGCTCCTCTGCTCCTCCGCTTCTCTCCATCTCTGCTCCTCTGCTCTTCCGCTTATCTGCTCCTCTGCTCCTCTGCTCCTCTGCTCCTCTGCTCCTCCGCTCCTCTGCTCCTCCGCTCCTCTGCTCCTCTGCTCCTCTCCTCCTTGTCTCCTCTCCTCCTCCGCTCCTCTCCTCCTCCGCTCCTCTCCTCCTCCGATCCTCTCCTCCTCTGCTCCTCTGCCCCACCGCTCCTCTCGTCCCCCGCTCCTCTGCTCCTCCGCTCCTCTCCTCCTTCGCTCCTCTCCTGCTCCGCTCCTCTGCTTCTTTACTCCAATGCTCCCTGCTCCTCTGCTCCTCCGCTCCTCTGCTCCTCCACTCCTCTGCTCCTCCGCTCCTCTCCTCTGCTCCTCTGAAGCTCCGCTCCACAGCTCCGCGGCTCCTCTCCTCCTCTGCTCCTCTCCTTCTCCACTCCTCTGCTCTTCCACTGCACTGCCCCGCCGCTCCTCTCCTCCTCCGCTCCACTGCTCCTCCGCTCTTCTCCTCCTCCACTCCTCTCCTTCTCCGCTCCTCTCCCTTTCTGCTGCTCTGCACGGGCGCTCCTCTGCTCCTCCGCTCCTCTCCTCCTCCGCTGCTCTGCTCCTGCACTCCTCTACTCCTCCGCATCTCTGCTCCTTCGCTCCTCTGCTCCTCCACTCCTCTCCTCCTCCGCTCCTCTCCTCCTCTGCTCCCTTGCCCCGCTGCTCCTCTCCTCCTCAGCTCCTCTGCTCCTCTGCTCCTCTTTACCTCCGCTCCTCTGCTCCTCCGCTCCTTTGCTTCTCCGCTCCTCTCCTCATCCGCACCTCTCCTTTTCCGTTCCACTCCTCCTCCGCTCCTCTCCTCCTCCGCTCCCCTCCTCCTCCGCTCCTCTCCTCCTCTGCTCCTCTCCTCCTCCGCTCCTCTGCTCCTCCGCTCCTCTCCTCCTCTGCTCCTCTCCTCCTCCGCTCCTATGCTCCTCTGCTCCTCTGCTCCTCCGCTCCTCTCCTCCTCCGCTCCTCTCCTCCTCCGCTCCTCTGCCCCTCCACTCGTCAGCTTCTCCGATCCTCTCGTCCTCCGCTCCTCTCCTCCTCGGCTCCTCTCCTCCTCTGCTCCCCTCCTCCTCCGCTCCTCTCCTCCTCTGCTCTTCTCCTCCTCTGCTCCTCTGCCCTGTCGCTCCTCTCCTCCTCCGCTCCTCTGCTCCTCTGCTCCTCTATACCTCCGCTCCTCTGCTCCTCCGCTCCTCTACTCCTCCGCTCCTGTCCTCCTCCGCTCCTCTCCTCATCCGCTCCTGTCCTCCTCCGTTCCACTCCTCCTCCGCTCTTCTCCTCCTCCGCTCGTCTGCTCCTCCGCTTGTCTGCTCCTCCGCTCCTCTTCTCCTCCGCTCCTCTCCTCCTCCGCTCCTATCCTCATCGGCCCCTCTCCTCCTCCGCTCCTCTGCTCCGCCGCTCCACTCCTCCTCCACTCCTCTCCTCCTCCGCTCCACTGCTCCACCGCTCCTCCGCTCCTATGCATCCTCTGCTCCTCCGCTCCTCTGATCCTCCCCTCCTCTCCTCCTCCACTCCTCTCCTCCGCTCCACTCCTCCTCCGCTCCTCTGCTCTTACGCTCCTCTGCTCCTCCACTCCTGTCCTCCTCCGCTCATCTCCCCCTCCGCTCCTCTCCTCCTCCGATCCTCTGCTCCTCTGCTCCTCTCCTCCTCCGCTCCACTCCTCCTCCGCTCTTCTCCTCCTCTGCTCCTCTCCTCCTCCGCTCGTCTGCTCCTCCGCTCCTCTGCTCCTCCGCTCCTCTCCTCCTCCGCTCCTCTCCTCCTCCACTCCTATCCTCCTCCACTCCTCTCCTCCTCCGCTCCTCTGCTCCGCCGCTCCTCTCCTCCTCCACTCCTCTCCTCCTCCGCTCCACTGCTCCACCGCTCCTCCGCTCCTATGCATCCTCTGCTCCTCCGCTCCTCTGATCCTCCCCTCCTCTCCTCCTCCACTCCTCTCCTCCGCTCCACTCCTCCTCCGCTCCTCTGCTCTTACGCTCCTCTGCTCCTCCACTCCTGTCCTCCTCCGCTCATCTCCCCCTCCGCTCCTCTCCTCCTCCGATCCTCTGCTCCTCTGCTCCTCTCCTCCTCCGCTCCTTTCCTCCTCCGCTCCTCTCCTCATCCGCTCCTCTCCTCCTCCGTTCCACTCCTCCTCCGCTCTTCTCCTCCTCTGCTCCTCTCCTCCTCCGCTCGTCTGCTCCTCCGCTCCTCTGCTCCTCCGCTCCTCTCCTCCTCCGCTCCTCTCCTCCTCCACTCCTATCCTCCTCCACTCCTCTCCTCCTCTGCTCCTCTGCTCCGCCGCTCCTCTCCTTCTCCGCTCCTCTCCTCCTCCGCTCCACTGCTCCTCCCCTCCTCCGCTCCTATGCGTCCTCTGCTCCTCCGCTCCTCTGATCCTCCCCTCCTCTCCTCCTCCACTCATCTCCTCCGCTCCACTCCTCCTCCGCTCCTCTGCTCCTTCACTCCTGTCCTCCTCCGCTCATCTGCCCCTCCGCTCCTCTCCTCCTCCGCTCCTCTGCTCCTCCGCTCCTCTCCTCCTCCGCTCCTGTCCTCCTCCGCTCCTCTCCTCCTCCGCTCCTCTCCTCCTCCGCTCCTCTCCTCATCTCCTCCTCTCCTCCTCCTTTCCTCTCCTCCTCTGCTCCTCTCCTCTTCCGCTCCTCTCCTCCTCTGCTCCTCTGCTCCTCTGCTCCTCAGCTCCTCCAATCCTCTGCTCCTCCGCTCCTCTCCTCCTCGGCTCCTATTCTCCTCTGCTCCTCTCCTGCTCCGCTCCTCTCCTTCTCCGCTCCTCTTCTCCTCTGCTCCTCTGCCCCGCCGCTCCTCTACTCCTCCGATCCTCTGCTCCTCTGATACTCTTTACCTCCGCTCTTCTGCTCCTCCACTCCTCTGCTCTTCCGCTCCTCTGCTCCTCCGCTCCTCTGCTCCTCCGCTCCTCTCCTCTTCCGCTCCTCTCCTCCTCCGCTCCTCTCCTCCTCCGCTCCTCTCCTCCTCCGCTCCTCTGCTTCTCCGCTCCTCTGCCCCCCCGATCCTCTGCTCCTCCGCTCCTCTCGTCCTCAACTCCTCTCCTCCTCCGCTCCTCTGCCCCGCCACTCCTCTCCTCCTCCGCTCCTCTGCTTCCTCTGCTCTTCCGCTCCTCTGATTTTCCCCTCCTCTCATCCTCTGCTCCTCTCCTCCGCTCAACTCCTCCTCCATTCCTCTCCTCCTCCGCTCCTCTGCTCCTCCGCTCCTCTGCTCCTCCGCACCTCTGGTCCTCCGCTGCTCTCCTCCTCGGCTCCTCTCCTCCTCCGCTCCTTTCCTCCTCCGCTCTTCTCCTCCTCCGCTCCTCTCCTAATCCGCTCCTCTGCCCCTCTGCTCCTCTCCTCCTCCGCTCTTCTCCTCTTCCGCTCGTCTGCTCTTCCGCTCCTCTGCCCCGCCACTCCTCTGCCCCACCACTCCTCTGCTCCTCCGCTCCTCTGCTCCTCCGATCTTCTGCTTCCTCTGCTCCTCCGCTCCTCTCCTCCTCTGCTCCTCTGCTCCTCCGCTCCTGTCCTCCTTCGCTCCCCTCCTCCTCCGGTCCTCTCCTCCTCCGCTCCTCTGCTCCTCTGCTCCTCTCCTCCTCCTCTCCTCTCCTCCTCCGCTCCTCTCCTCATCCGCTCCTCTCCTCCTCCGCTCATCTCCTCCTCCGCTCCTCTCCTCCTCCGCTCCTCTGCTCCTCCGCCCCTCTTCTCCTCCGCTCCTCTGCTCCTCCGCTCCTCTCCTCCTCTGTTTCTCCGCTTCTCCGCTCCTCTGCTCCTCTCCTCCTCCACTCCTCTCCTCCTCCGCTCCTCTGCTCCTCCGCTCCTCTGCCACGCCGCTCCTCTCCTCCTCCGCTCCTCTGCTCCTCCGCTCCTGTGCTCCTCCGCTCCTCTCCTCCTCTACTCCTCTGCACAGGCGCTTCTCTGCTCCTCCTCTCCAATCCTCCTCCGCTCCTCTGCTCCTGCGGTCCCCTCGTCCTCCGCTCCTCTCCTCCTCCGCTCCTCTCCTCCTCCGCTCCTCTGCTCCTCCGCTCCTCTCCTCCTCCGCTCCACTCCTCCTCCGCTCCTCTGCTCCTCAGCTCTTCTGCCCCGCCGCTCCCCTCCTCCTCCACTCTTCTGCTCCTCCGCTGTTCAGCTCCTCTGCTTCTCTCCTTCTCCGCTCCTCTCCTCCTCTGCTCCTCTGCACCGGCGCTCCTCTGCTCCTCCGCTCCTCTCCTCCTCCGCCCCTCTGCTCCTCCACTCCTCTACTCCTCCGCTCCTCTCCTCCTCCGCTCCTCTCCTCCTCCGCTCCTCTCCTCCTCCGCTCCTCTCCTACTTCGCTCCTCTGACCCGCCATTCCTCTCCTCCTCCGCTCCTCTGCTCCTCCGCAACTGTGCACCTCCTCTTCTTTCCTTCTCCGCTCCTCTGCTCCTCCGCTCCTCTCCTCCTCCGCGTCTCTCATCCTCCGCTCCTCTCCACCTCCGCTCCTCTGCTCCTCCCCTCCTCTGCTCCTCCACTCCTCTGCTTCCTCTGCTCGTCCACCCCTCTGATCTTCCCCTCCTCTCCTCCTCCACTCCTTTGCTCCACCGCTCCTCTCCTCCTCCGCTCCTCTCCTCCTCCGCTCCAATCCTCCTCCGCTCCTCTTCTCCTCCGCTCCTCTGCTCCTCCGCTCCTCTCCTCCTCTGCTCCTTCGCTCCTCCGCTCCTCTGCTCCTCTCCTCCTTTGCTCCTCTCCTCCTCCGCTCCTCTGCTCCTCCACTCCTCTGCCCCGTCGCTCCTCTACTCCTCTGCTCCTCTGCTCCTCCGCTCCTCTGCTCCTCCGCTTCTCTCCTTTTCCGCTCCTCTCAACAGGGGCTCCTCTGCTCCTCCGCTCCTCTCCTCTTCCGCTCCTCTCCTCCTCCGCTCCTCTGCTCCTCCGCTCCTCTGCTCCTCTCCTCCTTCGCTCCTCTTCTCCTCCGCTCCTCTGTTTCTCCGCTCCTCTGCTCCCCCGCTCCTCTGCTCCTCCGCTCCTCTCCTCCTGCGCTCCTCTCCTCCTCTGCTCCTCCGCTCCTCTGCTCCTCCGCTTCTCTCCATCTCTGCGTCTCTCCTCCTCCGCTCCTCTCCTCCTCTGCTCCTCTGCTGCTCCGCTCCTCTGCTCCTCCGCTCCTCTGCTCCTCTACTCCTCTCCTCCTCTTCTCCGCCGCTCCTCCGCTCCTCTGCTCCTCTCCTCCTTTGCTCCTCTCCTCCTCCGCTCCTCTGGTCCTCCGCTCCTCTGCCCCGTTGCTCCTCTCCTCCTCCACTCCTCTGCTCCTCCACTCCTCTGCTCCTCTGCTTCTCTCCTTCTCCGCTCCTCTCCTCCTCTGCTCCTCTGCACAAAGGCTCCGCTGCTCCTCCGCTCCTCTCCTCCTCCGCTCCTCTGCTCCACCGCTCCTCTGCTCTTCCACTCCTCTCCTCCTTCGCTCCTCTTATCCTCCGCTCCTCTGCTTCTCTGCTCCTCTGCTCCCCCGCTCCTCTGCGCCTCCACTCCTCTCCTCCTCCGCTCCTCTCCTCCTCTGCTTCTCTGCTCCTCCGCTCCTCTGCTCCTCCGCTTCTCTCCTTCTCCGCTTCTCTCCTCCTCCGCGTTTCTCCTCCTCTGCTCCTCTGCTGCTCCTCTCCTCTGCTCCTCCGCTCATCTGCTCCTCCGCTCCTCTCCTCCTCTGCTCCTTCACTCCTCCGCTCCTCTGCTCCGCCGCTCCTCTCCTCTACCGCTCCTCTGCTCCTCAGCTCCTTTGCCCCGCCGCTCCTCTCCTCCGCTCCTCTGCTCCTCCGCTCCTCTGCTCCTCTCCTCCTCTGCTCCTCTGCACGTGCGCTCCTCTGCTCTTCCGCTCCTGTCCTCCTCCGGACCTCTGCTCCTCCGCTCCTCTCCTGCTCCGCTCTTCTCCTCCTCTGCTCCTCTCCTACTCCGTTCTTACCCTCCTCCGCTCTTCTCCTCCTCCACTCCTCTGCCCCGCCGCTCCTCTCCTCCTCCGCTCCTCTACTCCTCCGCTCCTCTGCTCCTCTGCTTCTCTCCTTTGCTCCTCTCCTTCTCTGTTCCTCTGCACCGGCGCTCCTCTCTTCCTCCGCTCCTCTCCTCATCTGCTCCTCTCCTCCTCCTTTCCTCTCCTCCTCTGCTCCTCTCCTCCTCAGCTCCTCTGCTCCTCCGCTCCTCTGCCCTGCCGCTCCTCTCCTCCTCTGCTCCTCTGCTCCTCCACTCCTCTGCTCCTCTGCTTCTCTCCTACTCCGCTTCTCTCCACCTCTGCTCCTCTGCACCGGTGCTCCTCTGCTCCTCCGCTCCTCTCCTCCTCCGCTCCTCTGCTCCTCCGCTCTTCTCCTCCTCTGCTCCTCTCCTCCTCCGCTCCTCTCCTCCTCTGCTCCTCTCCTCCTCAGCTGCTCTGCCCCACCGCTCCTCTCCTCCTCCGCTCCTTTGCTCCTCCGCTCCTCTGCACCTCCGCTACTCTGCTCCTCCGCTTCTCTCCTTCTCCTCTCCTCTACTCCTCTGCTCGTCGCAGCAGCAGCAGCAGCCGCCGTGGGGACCCCCGCCGCCGTGGTGGCCCGATGGCGCTGGTAGTGGTGGTTGTGGTGGTGGGCCACGCAGCTCGGTGTCTGGTGGCGGCTCCAGTGTGGTCAGCTGCCAGTACCAGCTTTCGACCATCCCGGTCACACCGCCGCGCGCTGCTACCACTGCCTGGACGACCTCCACCGTTCTCCCTTTCGGCCCCGCGTCGGACCCCCCCAACTGGTACAGCCTGGTTCGTCACCGTGTGCCTCTCTTTGAGCTGGATCTGGATCAGTTTAGGTCTGCTATGTATGTCATGTATGCTGATGACTCCAGTGTGACTGGACCCTATAACCTTGTGCTCCTGCGCTTCTCTGCTCCTCAGCTTCTCTGCTCCCCCGCTCCTCTGCTCTCCGCTCCTCTCCTCCTTCGCTCCTCTCCTCTTCCGCTCCTCTGCTTCTCTGCTCCTCTGCTACACCGCTCCTCTGCTCCTCTGCTCCTCTCCTCCTCCGCTCCTCTCCTCCTCCACTCCTCTGCTCCTCCGCTCCTCTGCTCCTCCGCTTCTCTCCTTCTCTGCTTCTCTCCTTCTCTGCTTCTTTCTTCCTCCGCTCCACTCCTCTGCTCCTCTGCTCCTCTGCTCCTCTGCTCCTCCGCTCCTCTCCTCCTCCGCTCCTCTCCTTCTTCACTTCTCTCCTCCTCGCTCCTCTCCTCCTCCACTCACCTCCTCCTCCGCTCCTCTGCTCCTCCACTCCTCTGGTCAGCCTCTCCTCTGCTCCTCCGCTCCTCTGCTCCTCTGCTTCTCTCCCTCTCCGCTCCTCTCCTCCTCTGCTCCTCTGCATGGGCGCTCCTCTGCTCCTCCTCTCCTCTGCTCCTCCGCTCCTCTGCTCCTCTGCTCCTCTCATCCTCCGCTCCTCTCCTCCACTCCTCTCCTCCTCCGCTCCTCTGCTCCTCCGCTCCTCTGCCCCGCCGCTCCTCTCCTCATCTGCTCCTCTGCTCCTCCGCTCCTCTGCTCCTCCGCTTCTCTCCTTCTCCTCTCCTCTCCTCCTCTGTTCCTCTGCAATGGCGCTCCTCTGCTCCTCCACTCCTCTCCTCCTCCGCTCCTCCGCTCCTCTGCTCCTCCTCTCCTCTCCTCCTCAGCTCCTCTCCTCCTCCACTCCTCTCCTCCTCTGCTCCTCTTCTCTTCCGCTCCTCTCCTCCTTCGCTCCTCTGCCCCGCCGCTCCTCTCCTCCTCTGCTTCTCTGCTCCCCCGCTCCTCTGCTCCTCCGCTTCTCTCCTTCTCCGCTCCTCTGCTACTCTTCTCCTCTGCTCCTCCGCTCCTCTCCTCCTCCGCTCCTCTGCTCCTTCGCTCCTCTGCTCCTCCGCTCCTCTGCTCCTTCTTTTCTCTGCTCCTCTGCTCCTCTCCTCCTCCGCTCCTCTCCTCCACTCCTCCTCCGCTCCTTTCCTCCTCCGCTCTTCTCCTCCTCCGCTCCTCTGCTCCTCCGCTCCTTTACCCCGCCTCTCCTCTGCTCCTCCGCTCCTCTGCCTCTCCGCTTCTCTCCTTCTCCGCTCCCCTCCTCCTCTGCTCCTCTGCACGGGCACTCCTCCGCTCCTCCGCTCCTCTCCTCCTCCGCTCCTCTGCTCCTCCGCTCCTCTCCTCCTCCGCTCCTCTCCTCCTCCGCTCCTCTCCTCTTCTGCTCCTCTCCTCCTCCACTCCTCTGCCCCGCCGCTCCTCTCCTCCGCTCCTCTGCTCCTCCGCTCCTCTGCTCCTCCGCTCCTCTGCTCCTCCGCTCCTCTCCTTCTCCGCTCCTCTCCTCCTCCGCTCCTCTCCTCCTCCGCTCCTCTGCTCCTCCGCTCCTCTGCTCCTCCGCTCTTCTGCTCCTCCGCTCCTCTGCTCCTCCGCTCCTCCGCTCCTCCGCTTCTCCGCTCCTCCGCGTCTCGGCTCCTCTGCTTCTCCTCTCCGCTCCTTCGCTTCTCCGCTCCTCCTCCGCTCCTCTACTCCTCTGCTCCTCTCCTCTTCCGCTCCTCTTCCCCGCCACTCCTCTCCTCCGCCGCTCCTATCCTTCTCCGCTCCTCTGCTCCTCCGCTTCTCTTCTTCTCTGCTCCTCTCCTCCTCAGCTCCTCTCCTCCTCCGCTCCTCTCCTCCTCTGCTCCTCTGCTCCTCCGTTCCTCTGATTCTCTGCTCCGATTCCTGCTGCTGCCACATCTTCCGGCACTCGCACGCCCAGCAGCGGGGCACCGGGGAGAGAAGGCGGTGGGGGAAGGAGATTAGAGGAGTTGATCCAGTACGAGCAATCCGGAGATCACGGAAGCAGCGAGAACTGCGCGTGTGGGAGGGGGAAGGCGCATGTCGGATGTGCCCCACGGCAGCACAGCAGCAAGCAGAGCAAGCGAGAGGGGACTGGGGAAGAGGGGGACGCGGCGAGCATGGTACGAATGCGCTTCTAACCCCTCTGAGCTTTATATGTACTCCACTGCTGCCGTGCTAGGGACCCCACCTCTACGCGCTGTGCTACGGTGGTTTCGCGAAGCATACACGAGATTGTTTGGCTTTGCCGCCTGCACTGTAGCATTCCAGCCAGCTTTCAAAGCTGCATGGGCTGTGTATAACGCCTCGCTACCCACTGGGTCAAGACGAGGTTACCCAGAGGCGCAGCGGAATGCGTTTACAATCTCTAGGGTAATTTCCGTCCGCAAACGTTACACTCACCCCCCCCCTGGTGCCAACGTCCTCGTTGGTTCAGGGAGTCGGCCCTCGCAAGGACCTCGCACAGTTCGCTGAAGGGAGCAGCGACTTCGCTGGTGGGCAAGGCCAGCTGCTAGGATCGTTCTCTGGATTCGCGACTGGATACAACCGCAGCTGTATTTTTCGCACATTCGAACCCTAAGCTCCGATTTCAGTATAATGCCTCGCTACCCACTTGGTCAAAACGAGGTTACCCAGAGGCGCAGCGGAATGCGTTTACAATCTCTACGGTAATTTCCGTCCGCAGACGGTACACTGTGGGTACCTTTCATGCATGTTACTAACCCTATCTCCCTCATCGCACAGCTCGAGCTCGTCGCACGCGTTTCTGCTGCAGGGTATCGGGCTGAAGGTGACGCGGATTTCGGCGACCTTTTTTTGTGGGGCCCGAGGGTAGAAATCGCAGGGTACTGCGGGTGTTAGCGACGGTGCGATTTGATGGTCCTTAGATGGCATTTACGGGAATGCTAAGGCGGGGCTTGTGGTCGTGAGTCTGGCTTTTGGTGGAAGGAATTCTGTCTTTGGCGTATCGTCGAGGCCCTGGTATGCGTGTCTTGGGTACTCGGTGCTGCATGGAGGTAGTGTGCTGTGTATGCTGCTTATGGTGCCTTGGGCGTGGTGACGCTGGGCTGGAGTGTGCATGACCGAAAGTCCCAAAATGTATGCGCGCACTTCCAAGTTTCAAACGCCTTGTGTGTCGGGGGCAGGGGCGGAATCGGCAGGGGGTGGCGCATGCGTGTCAATTGTTTCAGCTCCCTTTTGGTGTGCAACGAGGGTTTCTGCTCTCGCTTTGGGGAACCAGGTTACCAATCGGGAGGGTTCAAGATTAATTATCTTGAAACCTCATTTCTGCAATTTGGGTCAACGTCTGTAAAGCCGCCCTACACATTCACTTCAATTCGTTTCAAGGGATAAACTTCCTAAGACATCTCCACCTATGTAAGGAAATTCCCTTTTCCTTACTGGGCTCGACTACAGCGCGTACGCCCTCGACTCTCGGAAGTCCAGGCCCGGCCAACTTCTTCGGTCCCGAACCACTTCGCGAACCAAAACCTAGGCGCGCGGCGCTTCCGTAGCTTTCGCCAACCGGACCGCCCCAACCTGTTCGCGTGGTTCTCGGCTAGCTCTGTTCGTGCCTATAAATGCCTAGGCCCTCATTTGTATCAACACTCTTAAATCATGACTCCTTTATTACACTACCTGTTATTCCTCTGATTAATTCATAACAGCTGGTATCAGAGCTCCGTTCCTGCCCGCTTAGTCTTCCGTAGAGTAGTCCGTTTATATCGGGAGAGGACCCAACAGAATAGAGGGTTGGCCTACGGTTTGTAGGTGAGCTCGTTAAAGCTCCTCCAACTAGAAGCGTGTGCACCCTCAGATCTGTTAGGTAAACTTTTCAGCATGCCTACCACGCTGGAAACCTCTGCCCGTCATAGTGTTAGGAACGTGACTCAGGAGGAGTTTGACGAGTTGCAAGCCAGGGCGGCTACAGTGACGACATTGCAGGCCAAGCTACAACAACTCGCCGATACGTTTGAGTCACTGGGAAGCGAAGTACAGACGCTGCGCAACGAAAAATCGTCGCTTTACCAGACGCGTGGTGAAACGCATCAGCGGCGGCCTGTTACCCGAGATGAAGATGCTCCGAGCGAAGCGAGGGCGTTTGCGACACCTGAAGCAGTTGAAGAAGTCCACAGCGAGCCGCGCGCGGCCATTAAAATCAAACCTCCGATGCCAAGGCCGTTCAACCCGACCGACAGAACAACTACAGTGAGCAGTTGGCTGTTCGCCATGGAAATCTTCTTCACAGCAGCAAGTATTAATGACAACGCGTCACGTCTCAACTTGGATGTGTGTGTTTGAATGGTGTATCACAATGTGGTTTGTGTCGGTCAAGACATTAGCGAGTTTTCACAACTCGCATGTCAAGTCGTCGTTTGCGTGTCGCATGTGTTTTTTCTATTTTGTCGAGTGTGAAGTGTCCATCGCGTCGCAGGTGTGTGCAGCAAGCCTCCATCAACTCAAGAAGAATTGATCTTGCAGAACCAAGACCAAGAGCTCAAGATTTCAAGCCCAAGGGGCACGGATAAATATTAAATAGTGAAAATAGTAACGCTACTTCGTGTAGTGTTACATTTCACTTGGTGTAGCCCCTTGGAGGGTTTGTTTCGAGACTCTTCATGGTTGGGGACTCTGTGGTGGTGTACCACCAACCTGGACCTCGGCTCTTGGGGTATGTAGAGGCTGGGAACCATCTCCATCTCGAACTCTTCTTACTAAGTTTGTACTCCTAAGACTATAGTGGCTACTATACCTCTTGCCAGTCAAACCGCCATAGCGTCGTCAAATCTTCATGGAATTTCATGATTCAACTTGCTGCTGATAGGCGAGAGCAACGCGCTCCAGATCCAATTTACAGACCACCGTTTAAGGCACAGATCAGATCAGGATCAATATTTGAAGCTGTCTAACGGAATTCTGACTGTGCACAATTTCTCTCATTTTAGGCACATCTGAGCCTATTGTGATAATAACAGAATACATGGCTTCGTTCTTGGCATTGTGCGATCAAATCGGAGGGCTTAGCAAAGATGAGAAGATCAATCGCTACGTGGGTGGTCTCAAGCCAGAGATTCAGCAAGAGATTGTCCTGCGAGCCCCGGCAAATTGTCCGAATCGCGGATGCGCTGGACGCAAGACGTGGACTCGCGAGGGCGGGTGTCTGGGAGGGAAATCGTATTCGAGGCCAGCCCCAACACACATCAATCAACAGCGTGGACGTGTTTTCCGTATGTTATTTCCACTGCAACCAGCCGGGCCACATGGTGAAGGACTGCCCGCAGCTGACGAAGAACTTAGCTACCGACGGGAAGCAGTCGGGAAATGGAGATCATCAGTAGCAGATGGGCCACCTACTGACTTGACTGCGTCGCCCAAACGCCAACACCCCCACCAGGTTATAGTGCCGATTTGGGCTTTCGACCATTCCTGGCTGAATAAGGGGGGTGAACCGGTTGATCGCCTTGTGCCGGTTGAAGGAAGAGTTGGCGACACCCGCATAAAAATATTTGTTGATGGTAGGGCAAGCCTGTGAGAGTACGACCCCGTTACACCAATTTCCCCTTTCCATATTTCCTATCTATTTTATTCCTCTTTTTATCCTGATTCATTTGGTCTTTATCTCATCTCATTTGGTTTCCTATTCCTCCTTTTCCATCATCCTTTGGTTTATCCTGTTATTATAATTATATCACCGACTAGGCTCGGGATGTACTGGCGCGCTATATCTAGCGTAATCCTGCCGTAATCCCTTAAAGCCAATAGCCTTGCGTGGCTATACGCATGGTGATTCTATTTCTAGAAGGGTCTATTCCCTTTGGATAGGATAAACCTGGTTACCTGATGTAATCTGGAAGTATAAAAGCCCCTTGTACTGATTGATAGTGCAACATTGAGCAAACCTTTCCTCGGGACATTCGATCCTGTGACAAAGCCACTGTTTAATGGATGTGACAAAGCAAAGAAACTCTGATTGCAGCTGGAATGCAGTATGCCCGAAATCGACACGAGGTTGGTTGACGGCACCCCAGTGGTGATTCGGGAGAGCGTGCCTCACGTGCGAGTCACCAGTGGAAAAAAATTCAGTTTCACGACGAAGATGTTGGCGACAAATTTGGACGGGTGTGACATGCTGTTGGGACGCGATTGGCTGCGAGAATACAACCCGAGCATCGACTGGTGGACGGGCGATTGTCGCATCAAGTAGAGTGGCGAGTGGCAACGACTACCCAAGTGGAGCAGTCAAGACTCAACCACATCGACGGTCAGCACAGTGACTATCAAGCGAGCGATGATTCGAGGAGCACAACTGTATATTGTCCGATGGATCGCATCAACGGCCGTCGACACGCCCACAGACATCGACAAACTCTATGCAGCTGTACTGGATGATTTGGCAACAGTGATTCGGAAGCACATCGATATTTTTCCAGAAAACCTACTGACGGGCTTGCCACCTCAGCGGCCGTATGACCACAAAATCGAGCTCGAGCCCAGCGCGCAGCCTACTTTTCGGATGCAATGGCGGCTGACTCAGCCCGAGTTAGATGAACTTCGACAACAGCTAGACTACCTGCTCGAGAAAGGATTCGTCTGCCCCAGCACATCACCATTTGCAGCTCCGATCCTATTCACACCGAAGACAGATGGCGGTCTGCGTATGTGTATCGACTACCGCGCCTTGAATCGGGTTACTCTCAAGTCTCGCTACCCCATTCCACATGCAAACGACCTCATCGACCAACTTGGCGGAGCCAGATTTTTCTCGAAGATTGACTTGCGCGGTGGTTACCACCAACTTCGCGCGCAAGAAGCTGACTGCTACAAGACGGTGTTCCGGACCTGGTACGGGAGTTACGAGTACACGGTCATGCCCTTCGGCTTAACAAACGCGCCTTCGACATTCTAGTTGACCATGTCTTGTGTGATGTCATCATATGCTATCACATTCTGTCTGCCTCCCATCCCATGTTTTCAACTTGCATGTGTGCTTTGAACGTGTGCAAGAATTTGTGTGTGATGTGTTCTGGAGTTTGGGAATGTGTTTTGTGTTATTTTGTTTGAGCAGGTATTTTGTGATAATAGATCTTGAGAAGATCTTTCCGACGCAACAAGAATCGCTTCAATCGGAGCAAGAACGCGAAAGCTATGAAGATTCAAAGTTCATGAGCTTGCGTTACAATTGTGGCGGTTACAAAATGAAGTTGTGGGGTGACTCTATATGGAGTTGGGACCTTTGGGGGTTGGGGAAATTTGTCACTCTACTGTAACAGCTGCAAATTGGTTGGGAACAACCAAGCTAGGTTGGCAAGGGTGGCCAACTTGGATGGATTGGTTGGGAAGGAACAAATGTCAAAGTTGGGGTTCCTATTAGGGGGGGAATCTTTGTGCTTATGGGGTTTCCTTGGTTGGGGACTCTCTTGGGACATTCCCTCTCGTCCCTCTCTTCCCATCCCAACCTTTTCTCTTGCTCCTCTAAATTCCTTGTGAGATTCTTGAACTTTGATTGAACTTTTGAGATTGAGTTAAGTTCTCCTTCTACAGCTTACCCCCTAATGCGTCGAAAGCCATAGCGTCGCGAATACTTCATCAATCAACGTGATTTGAATTGGGAACGGTAGCTAAAATTAAGAGCTACGAAATATTCAAGTTTCGTGACATTCCAACGGCTATTTTTCTGTCGACGTTGTTTCTTGTGAAGAAGACTTTTCTGTCCAGAATTTCGGATCTATATTTTGAGTAATTCTAGCTCCTAAGTTCAGCTAGACTCCGTCCTTAATCCTAACAAGTGGTATCAGAGCAATATTGAGGACACTGAGAGGAGTCTACAGAAGTTTGAAGACCCTTCTAGACCCACCATGGCCTGTGGGCGTGCCTAAGTGGTGTTCTAAAGGTTGGATGTGTCTTCCGCTAAAGGGAAACTCTGCCGAAATTTCGTGGACGCCGATACTTGTGAAAATATCGAGGGAGCTGAGTGTGGACAGCAAAGGGGAGCTGAAATTCGTCATTTCTCAAGGAGAAGATGAATGAGAGAGGAGGAGATGCTAATGGAAGAGGAGCTGTACCTGAGAAGACAAGTGAGCCGCCGCCATCAAAAGTTGAAGCTTTGGATGGCTCCAACTATGAGGAATGGAGTGGGCGGATGAGGAGTGCCTTCAAACGCTACAAGCTACTGAAGATTGCTGTTGGGGAAGAGAAGATGCAGGAAGGAGGCGAAGCACGTGAACGGTGGATTGAGAAAAGCGCGGTGCTTTTCGACCTCATCCTTCAATCGGTCAACAAGGAGATGTTCGAGCACATCAAGGATCTTGTGGAAGCGGATGATTTGGGTCCAAGGGCGTGGAAACTACTGCGCGATGTGATTCCCAACGCTCTCCCGATGGTGATCGTGCTCGAGAAGGAACTTGCTGCCATCTCCATGCGACCAGGGAACGATGTGAAGCCGGTCCTTGACAAGATCAAGGACACCTATGCAAGGATGGCAGCAGCGGGCAGCAGTGTATCTCAGCTGCAGCAGTGCACCAAAATCATCTCGGTGTTGGACAACTCTTGGGACAACCTCATCCCCACCCTCAACTCTCAGCAAGATCAATGGACACCTGAGTGGCTAAGGCAGCAGATTCTGCAGGAGGACTTCCGCAGACGCCATGTCGGAGGTGGTGCTTCCACTAAGACTGCTGAGGGGTATGGAGCTGCAGGGCGCGGCAGAGGAAGAGGGGGTTGGAGAGGCTGAGGCCGTGGGAGGAGCTTTGGCAGAGGTAGAGGCCGAGGTGCTATAATGAAGGGCATGGGAGCTCCAGTGGCAGGGGGAGTACCAGAATGGAGGGCACCTGCTGGTACTGCAAGAAGAAGAGCAAGGCCGAAGTGACCTTTGGACCAACCAGCTGCCGTGCTAAGCTTGGGAAGAAGGTGCTGTGGAGTCTGGAAGAGGAGACCAGCTGCATCAAGGACCTATGGCAGCTGCCCATCATCCCTTGGAATGGGAAGACTCCAACAGCAGCAATGGCAGCAGCGGCAAAGGCAACAGCAGGATGAGATGCAACTGCACCAACTGATGGGGTCCTGGAAGGAGTTAAGAAAGTGCAGCAGCAGTAGACACATGGTGAGGTGCTTGCTGGTGTGGATGCGAGTGCGGCATGGGCTAAAGCTTCATCAAGGAGTGGTGAGGCCGATTGGGAGACATGGCATGAGAGGCTGTGTCATGTGAACTTCCCTATGCTGCAGAAGTTGGTGAAGGATGGGAGCCTGAAGGGCTTGGAGGTGAAAGGGGGAGTGAAGGAGATTGGGAGCTGCGCTACATGCTTGGAGACCAAGTTCTCCAAGTTTCCCTTCAACAGCACTACAGGACCAGCCAAGACCCCACTTGTACTTGTGCACATAGACAGTGACGGAAAAAACTGTCCATGTCTTGACTCTTTGAGAGGCTAAAATGCGTGTGTATTTTTCATACAAAGTCTTAAAAATAGGGGGCTTTAATATACTAGTATAATGCCTCATGAGCAAGAAGAGCACATTTCATGCAGCCTGAAAGGTTATGTTTATAATGCCAAACCAACAACCACATTCACGAAGCACCATTCGGACACTTTTGGCCAGATTTGAAGAAAGTGTTTAACAATAAAAAATCAGTACCTAGTCCACCTCCCCTTAGCCCTAACCACTGCCTTCACCCTCCTAGGCATACTGTTGATGAGGCCCCTGCACACATCCGCCCCAATGCCATCCCATGTTTCTTGCACCCGCTCCCAAGTCTGGAGCATCCCTGTGGGGGGGTGCTCATACTTGGCAAGCTCCCTTTTCAGGTGTGCCCACAGGTGCTTGATGGGGTTGAGATCAGGGGAGGAGGAAGGCCACATGAGGACTGCATACGGCTGCTCAGCCAGCCATGCTTGCACACGGCGGCTCTTGTGCTTGGGGTCGTTGTCATGCTGGAAAATTACATCCGAGGGGGTTAGACTATAGAAATCGATAGTTTGAGCAAGCTCATCATGTAAAATGCTTCTGTACAGCTCCCCATCCATGCGGCCGTCAATCTTACACATATAGCCCGGGCCATCATAAGTCATGCATCCCCATACCATCAATGACCCGCCCCCATGCTTGACGGTTTGCTGAATGTGGTGACGTTGCAGAGCCGCCCCGTCGCGTATCCACGCGTACTTGCGGCCATCACTGGAAAAGCGGTTGATCTTGGTCTCGTCGGACCAGATAACCCGCTTCCAGTCTTCAATGGTCCAGTCAAGATGCGCCCTGGCGAAATCGAGTCGGTCTCTGATATTTCTGGCAGAAAGTCGCGGCTTCTTCGGTTTCTGCACGGCTACTAAACCGGAGTTCTTCAGGGCGTTGCGCACGGTTCTAGGGCATATCTTGATGCCGCGCTCCGATTCTAGAAGTTTCGCGGCTTCTATGCTAGTATTCGCTCGGCCAGAAGTGACGGCTCGGACCAGAGAGCGCCTATCACGAACCGAGAGTATGCACGGTCGGCCGTTCCTAGCAACATTAGGCCTTACCGCTAGGCTGCTCGAGCGCTGGGAGGCTTCGTGAGCATATTTCTGTACCGTGCTTTTTCCTATTCCTAATGCTTTAGCGATTTGTCGAATACTCTGGCCCTGTCTAATAAGTGTCGCGATCCTATCTTTCTGGCTCGAAAGAAGCGGTCGCATCGTCGCTGGGGGCTTGGCGTAGTTGCCGCTGGACTATCGAGAGAAAAATGGCAGCGTAGATTGTGAGGTCGCGTAATGCAGGCAGGAAATAGATCTGGACGCGAAGTGGGCCTAAAGTGTCCGCATCGAGTAACGAACGCTTATTATTGTACTCTTTACAATAAAATCGATAAAAGTTACAACACTCAAGTGCATTGTGTAGCTGACGTCAAGGGGCACGATTTGCAATATGTTATGGTTGGGTTATAACAACATATCATGCCAAAATCACATAGTCTATGTACTGCAGTGGATTAATAAGCCCACTTATTTCCGTCACTGGATGTGGTGGGGCCCACAAGAGCCCTTTCCCTCTCAGGCAGCCGCTATTTCTTGACAATTGTGGATGACCACACTCGGGCAGTGTGGGTTTACCCTTTGAAGAGCAAGGGGGAGGTGGCAGCGGCTGTCCTTAAGGAGTGGATGCCTAGAGCTCAGAGGGAATGCGGACACAAGGTGAAGGTGATCCGCAGTGACAATGGTGGGGAGTTCATTGGAGCTGATTTTGAGGGGGAGTTGAAGAGGAAGGGGATCCAGCATCAACTGACAGTGCCCTACAACCCGCAGCAGAATGGCGTGGCTGAGAGGTTCAACAGGACCGTGCAGGAGGGGGCACGCACTCTCCTTGGGCGTGCAGGGCTGCCTGATCCGTTTTGGGTGTCTGCACTGAGGCAGGTCGCCCTTGTGAAGAATAGGGTGCTGGCTACAGTTGGGGAGAAGGAGTGGATCCCATATACCAAGTGGTATGGGAGTGCTCCAGCTGTGAACATGCTGAGGGCATTTGGGTGCATGGTGGTGTTTCATGTGCCTAAGGAGAAAAGGGGGAAGTTGGAGGCTTCTGAAAGATAGGGTGTGCACTTGGGGATTGCAAAGGATCACAAGGGGTGGCTGCTATGGGACTTGACCACCCAGAAGCTGACAGTGTCAAGGGATGTGAAGTTTCTTGAGTCCCTGTACTACAAGGAATGGAAGCAGCAGCAACAGAAGCTTCCATCTACACCACTCATTGTGGAGGCAGATGAGGTGCAGCGGCCTTCAAGACAGGTGGAGGTTGCAGTGTCTGAGGAGGAGATGTCTGGGGTGACTGAGGAAGGGGGAGCAGCTGAAGTGGAGCAGCAGCAGCAGCAGCAGCAGCATGAGTTTCCACCTCGAGTTCCACACCCGCCTGAGCGACCTAGGAGGGATGTGCGCCCTCCGGTGAGGCTGACCTATGGGGGAAGAGGCAAGCCGAATGTGGTGCAGGCTGGGAGTGTGGTTGAGCAGATTGAGGAAGATGAGATTGCATTGTGTTATTGGGCTGCAATTCCTCAGCCCAAGGTACTAACGCTAGCTTCAACTCAGTGAAAGCGGATGGCACCAGCATTGGGGGTTATGTGTGCTTGCTAGGAGGTGGTGCTGTGAGCTGGCGCAGCAAGAAGCAGAATGGGGTGGGATTGTCCTCATGTGAGACAGAGTACATGGCCTTACACCATGGGGTCAAGGAAGTGGTGTGGCTGAGGCGCTTGTTAGAGGAGTCGGGAGTTGGTCAGGAGGAGCCGACAGTTGTGTTCTGTGACAATGAGTCTGCTGTGAAGCTCACCAAGAATGCTTGTCTGCATGGGCTGACAAAACACATAAGGCCTAAGTGGCACTGGGTGAGGAGACTCCTTGATAAGGAGGTGCGGCTGGAGATAGTGAAGACCCATCAGCAGGCAGCAGATATTTTCACTAAGCGTCTGGCGGAGGCGGATCATTGGAAGGGCATGAAGCTTGCAGGGATGAGTGTGCATTGAGTATGCATGCTTGAGATGTGGTATGGTGGATGATGGTTGGCAGCTAGAGGGGGAGATTGTTGTGTGATGTCATCATATGCTATCACATTCTGTCTGCCTCCCATCCCATGTTTTCAACTTACATGTGTGGTTTGAACGTGTGCAAGAATTTGTATGTGATGTGTTCTGGAGTTTGGGAATGTGTTTTGTGTTATTTTGTTTGAGCAGGTATTTTCTGATAATAGATCTTGAGAAGATCTTTCCGACGCAACAAGAATCGCTTCAATCGGAGCAAGAACGCGAAAGCTATGAAGATTCAAAGTTCATGAGCTTGCGCCCGGGAGAAGAGGTGAGCCCGGGAGAAGGAGTGTGTGCGACAAGAGGCCGGGGAAGAAAGGCGCATGGAGGAAGAAGAATTAAATCAGAGAGGTATAGCCCTGCTGGCCCGGGCCAGGCAGGAAGAGGAGGCTGATGCGCAACGGCAGGAAGGGAAGAAGGGGGAAGGAGATGTGCCATCCCCTGTGGACATGCCAGCAGCCTGGGAGATGGGAGAAGGCCTCAATGAGGAAGAGAAGGAGCAGCTCAGGGAGGTGCTGGAGAAAGCGAGGGGGGCATTCGCCTATTCACTGGCTGAATTAGGCAAGTGCAGAAAATCGGTCATGGAGATAGAATTGCAGAGCGCCGAGCCGGTGTACCAAAGGAGGCGGCGTATGAGCCCTGGAGACCGGGACATCGCACAGGCAAAATGTGCCGAACTACTGGCAGCGGGGCTCATACGAGAATCAACCTCAGAGTATGCAGCTGCGACGGTGGTAGCGGCAAGGAAGGATTTGACCGGAGAAACGCTGGCAAGACGTATGTGTGGTGACTACCGGTGGTCACAGAATTGTGGCGGTTATAAAATGAAGTTGTGGGGTGACTCTATATGGAGTTGGGACCTTTGGGGGTTGGGGAAATTTGTCACTCTACTGTAACAGCTGCAAATTGGTTGGGAACAACCAAGCTAGGTTGGCAAGGGTGGCCAACTTGGATGGATTGGTTGGGAAGGAACAAATGTCAAAGTTGGGGTTCCTATAGGGGGGGAATCTTTGTGCTTATGGGGTTTCCTTGGTTGGGGACTCTCTTGGGACATTCCCTCTCGTCCCTCTCTTCCCATCCCAACCTTTTCTCTTGCTCCTCTAAATTCCTTGTAAGATTCTTGAACTTTGATTGAACTTTTGAGATTGAGTTAAGTTCTCCTTCTACAGCTTACCCCCTAATGCGTCGAAAGCCATAGTGTCGCGAAAACTTCATCAATCAACATGATTCGAATTGGGAACGGTAGCTACGATTAAGAGCTACAAAATATCCAAGTTTCGCGACATTCCAAGCACTAGTTTTTCGTCGACGTTGTTTCTTGTGAAGACGACTTTTCTGTCCAAAATTTCGGATTTATATTTTGAGTAATTCTAGCTCCTAAGTTCACCTAGACTCTGTCCTTAATCCTAACACCGTGAACAAGATATTTTGGCCACTGCTGGATAACTGCGTCATCGTGTAACTCCATGACATTCTCGTCTACAGCACAACATGGGAGCAGCATTTAAGGGATTTGGAAGCAGTTTTCTCTCTCCTGCAGCAGAACCGACTTATCACCGAGGGCTCTTAGTGCGAATTTTTAAAATACGAACAGGAGTTTTTGGGTCACGTCATTTCCATCAACGGTGTTAAAATCGACCCCAAGAAAATCGCGACAATCCAAGACTGGAAGCCGCCGGCTAATCTACGCGATCTTAAGAGTTTTCTGGGGTTTGTTAATTACGTCCGCCAATTCACTCCAAACATGGCGGGGGTAACTTCCCTTCTCAAAAATCTTCTGAAGAAGGTGTAAGAAATAGAATTGAAATGATTAATTAGGAAAGAAGCCCAATGCTCTATAAGTACATTGCAAGGTGAGAGTGAATGGATGAAGGGGGAATTGGAGGGAATCCCCATTGGGATCTCCGAAATCCCCAATTGAGTAATTGGAGATTGGGGGGATCACAATTGGGCGAGGTTGGGATTTGTGAGTACACCCCAACCCACTAGAACATTCATAACCTAAACTAGGATATAAAAGTACAAATACAAAAGTGGTATTTGCAGTCTATTTCTAACACACCCCCATAGACTGCAAACCCGGTCAAGGAGCACATAGCCCCATGGAACGGAGAAGGCGATGGTGGTCAGCCTTGCCGAGAGCCTTGGTAAAGAGGTCGGCGAGGTTGCAATCTGAGGCGATGTACCGTACCGTCAGCTGGTCACTCTGAACAAGATCTCGGATGAAGAAATGACGAAGTTCGATGTGCTTGGTGCGAGAGTGAAACACAGGATCCTTGGTGAGGTGAATGGCACTCTGGTTGTCACACCACAGGGTGGGCGACTACTGGGGGTAGCCTAATTCAGCGAAGAGAAAGGAGAGCCAGTGTGCCTCTTGAGGAGCCATTGTGCCCCCGTAGAGCTCGGCCTCGCAGGACGACAGGGAGACTGCAGAGGACCGAGTGGAGCACCAGCTGATGACTCCGCTACCAAGGGTGAAGCAATACCCTTGGGAGGAGCGTCTGTCAGTCTGGTCATCGGCCCATGAGGAGTCTGTGTATCCCTCGAGCTTGACTGGAGAGGTACCACCAAGAGTGAGGATGTGAGACTTGGTGGCTTGTAGATAGCGGAGGACCCTCTTGGCTGCAGACCAATGCGAGGCAGTGTAGCGTCCGGGGGAGACGTACCGAGAGAGGACACTAACCGGGTAAGCCAAGTCTGGTCGAGTGCACATCATGGCATACATGAGTGAACCGACTAGCTCAGGGTACGGGTCCTTGCAGGCGTCAGGAGAAGGAACTGGAGGGGCCGTGAGCTGATGCTGTAGTGGGAGTGGAGTGGAGACAGAGTTACTGGAGTCCATGTCGAACCGCTTGAGAAGGTTGTCGATGTAGGACTCCTGGGAGAGGTTGATCGTGCAAGCCTGGCGGTCACGAGTGATCTCCATCCCCAGATAGTTCTTGAGGTCACCAAGATCCTTCATGAGAAGGGCGGAGCTGAGAGCAGACTGGACAGCTGCCATGTCGGCTGGATCTCTGGCGGCTAGAATGAAGTCGTCGACGTAGATGAGGATGTAGAAGGGCTCGGAGGAGTGACGAACGAAGAGACTGGAATCTGCGGCAGAGGGATGGAAGTCAAGTGCGAGGAGGACTTCCTTCACCTTGTTGTGCCACTCACGAGGAGCCTGCTTGAGGCCATACACTGGGCGCTTCAGCTTCCACACTGTGTTGGCAGGGTAAGTGCCAGGAAACCCCGGTGGGCGTTCCATGTGAACATCCTCCTTGAGCTGGCCTTGGAGAAAGGCGGAGGAGGCGTCCATGGACTTGATCTCGAAGTTGCCGCGAGCGGCTATATCAAGAAGAGCGCGCACAGTTGGGAGCTTGGCCGTGGGCGAGAATGTTTCGAAGAAGTCGAGATACTCCTTCTGGGTGAAACCCTTCGCCACGTATCGTGCCTTGAACAGTGGAGCTTCGCCTGGGAGTTGTTTGACTCGGAAGATCCATTTTCCGCCGACGATGTTGACACCGGAAGGGGGAACAACATCGTCAAAGCTGTTGTTGCGAATGAACGCCTCCTTCTCCACATCCATTGCTGATAGGAGACTGGTGAGCCTGATAGGAGACTGGTGAGCCGGGCTCGACGCGCGGGGAAGGCGGAGCACGAGGAGGTGCCGCTGCGGAGGATACTGGGGAGGCCGGGTGAGACACGCCGGACGGAGAAGGCCCCGGAGAAGGGGCAGCGGCCGGAGTTGGGGCATCGAAGTCTGCCCAAACAAGCGTCGGGGGAGGTGGAGGAGGCTCGCCCGTGGTCGCAAAGTGGAATGGGCGTGTCTCATCGAAGACGACATGACGGCTGCGAATCAGCTGTCTGGTGATTGGGTTGAGGAATAAGTAGTCTGGGGAGTCGGAGTTGTGCCCCAGGTACATGCAGGTCTGGGTTTTGGGACCAAGGTTGCCACCTTGCTTCCTGCGCGTGTGGGGGCTTAGCAACACATACGCGGTACACCCCCAGATGCGTAGAGAGCGGGCGGAAGGCGTGACCGCAAGCCAGAGAGCGGTAGGTGTGGTGTCGGGCCGATGGGGATTCGGATAAAGATTGTAGAGGAGTGCCGCATGGAAGAGGGCATATCCCCAGAGTGACCGTGGTGCGTTGGCGTGACTGAGGAGGCAGGGAGCGATCTGAACCAAGGTGTGGTTGCGGCTCTCTGCAATGCCATTCTGCTGCGGGCTTTCGGGGAGCGTGAAGGTTTGCCGAATCCCTTGGGCCGCACAGAAGTTATCGAGTTTGCCATTGCGAAATTCTCCCCCACCATCAGAATGGAGGCATTTCAGAGGAGTGCCGAACGTAACTTGAGCCTGGCGCACCCACGCCATGATAACATCAGGTGCCTCCGCCTTGGTATGCAGGAGGTGCACAGAAACATACCGCGAGTGGTTATCGACTAGTGTAAGAAAGTACCGATGACCGCCTCCGGATGCGACTGGAGCTGGGCCCCAGACATCCATGTGCACTAGGTCCAGCGGAGCAGCTGCGACGGATGGGGAGGAAGGGTGCGGCTGCTGCCTGAGCTTGCTCTTGGTGCAGTCCAGGCAGGTGGGTGCAGGTGAGTCTGTTGGTGGAGGATGCGCCGACGGGAGGCCAAGAAGAAGTTTCTTGGAAGCGATGTCGGCAAGTGTACGGAAGTTGGGGTGACCCAAGCTATGGTGGTAGAGGATGGTTGGGTTGGCGAAGCTGCGACACGAACACGGAGTGGTGCTGGCAGCTTGCGCTTGGAGAGGGCGGCGAGAGGTGCAGGTGAACGCAGCGTGTAGACCTTGCTACTGTTGAGTGTGAAGCGTGCTAGGACCTTGTTGGACTTAGGGTCGAAGAGGTCACACTGATCCGAGTGTGCTGGGAAGATCGTGGTGACGCCTGCCCGTTGGAGCTCGTGTTGGGCCAAGAGATTGTGGCGTAGTGTGGGAACACACATGCCGGTGACACTGCCCGAAGGAAAAGCTGGGCACGGAACTGTGGAGGAGCCCTTGGCATGTGTTGTGAAACTGGAGTCTGCTCCTAGTAGACGGATTGGTGTCTCGTATGGCTTGAAGGAGTGTTCTTCCTTGAGAACCGTGTGAGTGGCCCCACTGTCGAGGGTGAACTCTATTGTGGCTGAGGTGCTTTGTGAGCCGGAACACTGCGAAATTGTCTCATTAATCATGGCAGTGCCAGGGAACAACATGTTGAGGCGCACATCAGCAGTGGGAGCTACAGCAGCCTGCACGGATTCCTGCGCTTTGACTTGATTGACCTTGCGAGGAGCACGATTGACCATCCAGCTTGGCGGTTTGGAGGCGGTCCCATTGACGGCATACCACTCGTCATCCTTCTTCTTGAAGCAAGAGGCAAGGGCGTGGTTGGTGCCACTACACACCTGGCCGGCACGAGGGCCGCGCTTGATGACATAGGGACACGGGGGGAAGCGGTTGCGCTGGAATGGCGCCGAAGCGGCATAGGCTTGAGGCACGGGAGCGCGGATTGCATTGGCCTTGGCTTGAGCGCTGTTGTCCTTTTCGGCAGAAAGAAGCGCGGATGAGACCTTGGCAAATGTGAGGTCTGCAGGAGCAAGGCCCAAGAGCATCTTGCGTGTGACTTCGTATGCCGGAGTGAGGCGGACTAGGAGAGCGGCTGCAGGGGCTTGCTCGGGGAAGACTATCCCCAACTGTTTGAGTTCGCCATGAATGGACTGCACCTTGGTGACATAGTCCGCCATGCCTGGCGAGTCCTCGAGCCGCACTTGGAACATGCTGGGGATGAGTATAGCAATTCCCACTGCAGTCTTCTTCAGGAAGCGGTCTTCGAGGTAGAGCCAAATGGCGTTGGCAGACGGGTAGTTGTGGTAGGTTTCGACGAGTTCGGGAGGAGTGGTGCCCATGAAGACACTAATGACCGCACCATCGGCCTTCTCCCAATTCTTGTCCTTGAGCAGTGCAGCAGCATAAACTACTTCGGCGACGGCATTAGCTGGATCGGCG